ACTCTTGCAAACAGTCTTGTAGCACACTCTTGTGGGACACTCTTGTATGTCACTCTTGTGGGACGCTCTCGAAGGACACTCTTGTGAGGCACTCCTGTAGAACACTCTTGTGGGACATCCTTGCAGGACACTCTTGTAGGACACTTTCGTGAGGCGCTCTTGTAGGACACTCTTGTAGGACACTCCCGTGGGACACTCTTGCGGGACACTCTTGTGGGACACTCTCGTTTGTTACTCTTGTGAGGCACTCTTGTATGACACTCACTCTAGCGGGGCGCTCTTGCGGGACACTCTTGTCAGACACCCTTGGGAAAGACTCTTGTAGGACACTCTTGTGGGACACTCTTGTGTGTCGGTCTTGTGAGAGACTCTCGTAGGACACTCTTGTCGGACACTCTTGTGGGGCACTCTTGTAGGACACTCTTGTCGGACACTCTTGTGGGGCACTTTTGTGGAACCCTCTTGCGGAATACTCTTGTAGGACACTCTTGAGGGGTTCCCTTGTAGGGAAACTCTTGTAGGACACTCTTGCCGGACACTCTTGTGGAACACTCTCGTGGGACACTCATCTTTACGACACTCTTGTGGGACTTTCTTGTATGTCACTCTTGTGGGACACTCTCGTAGGACACTCTTGTTGGACACTTTTGCGGAACTCTCTTGTATGACACTCTTGCGGGACACTCTTGTAGGACACTCTTGTTGGATGTTCTTGTGGGACTCTTGTGGGACAGTCTTGTGGGACACTCTTGTAGGACAGTCTTGTCGGTCACTCTTGTGGGACACTCTTGCGGCGCACTCTTGTACAACACTCTTGTCGGACACTCTTGCGGGACAAAATTAGTCTCCAAAAGTCAACCGTCACGTCTCCAGAACGAGCGCTTCGTGCGAGATTTCTTCCAAAAGTCACACGTCAAGTCTACAGAGCGAGCGTTTCGTGCGAGATTCACTCCAAAAGTTACACATCAAGTGTACAAGACAAGCGTTTCGGGCGAGACTTCTTCAAAAACTCACGCGTCAAGTCACCAAAACGAGCGTTTCGCACGAGACGTCCCGTTCAAAAATCACGCGTCAAGTCTCCAAAACGAGCGTTTCGTGCGAGACATCATCCAAAAGTGACATGTCAAAGTCTCCAAAACGCGCATTTTGCACGAGACTTCCTCAAAAACCCACACTTGAAGTCTGCAAAACAAGCGTTTCGTACGAGACTTCCTCCAAAAGTCACGCGTCAAGTCTTCAAAACGAGTGTTTCGAACGAGACTTCCACCAAAGTCGCACGCCAAGTCTCCAAAACGAGCATTTCGTATGAGACGATCCTCCAAAAGCCAAGCGGGAAGCTCCATCGGAGCACACACATCAAGCAGCCCTGCCAAGCACTTTCGCGATTCCAGCCCCTCCAAACAACACCCGCCCACACGCCAATCCCCATGTCACAGTGACATTCACCTCCACCACGCCTTGCAACCTCACGATTCCCTGCACGCAAATCGCACTTCCGCACTTCAGAGCCCGCACAAAGTACTGTGCCTGCCACGAGGAGTCACAATATCATATCATGTTAGCTTCAACCTAAATTGCACCACACCACACGTTTGGAATGATTTCGACACGTTCTGAGCACACTCCCATCCACCAAAATTGTCATTTTAGCTGAGATCTGTCACGGAAACACAGCTTCGATGCAACAGCCTGAAACGCAAATCCCAATGTCACAGCCACATCCAACACCTCAAAGACACCACCCTCTAAACGCCAATCCCAATCTGACTGCGCAGAAAACTGCGGATCTCACAAAACGCCGCGCCTGCGCAGTGAATTCATCCTCCCAAATCCAACATCCCAAAACCACGGTATTTGCGACGAATCTGATGATCACCCTCCAGCGACAAACTTCTCCAAAAGCTTCGCCTATGGGGACAAAATAGCAACCTCACGACGACGACAGGGACCACACGACGATGACAAACGACGACGCAGAGCACGTGAGGCGAAGACAGTCCAACCCCCAGACCCCCACTATAAACGAGAGCCCTTTGCTACGCATTCGGGAAAAAACAATGCAATTGCACAGGACTTTGGCAGACGTAGAGAATCTTACTTGCTGTACTTAGGCGACGGAACACACTAAAATATATATAGTTCATTATAGTTTATAGTTTTTGTACATAAGAACCATGGACCTTTCTTATATAGAGAATGTTACTTCTTACTTCTGCAGATTGTTCATCTACTTGTGGAGCCGAATGCAAGAAGGGATGTCCTAAAAGGGATGTCCTCAGTGCTGTCTGACCCAGGGCTGCAAACTAGTGAAGTATCTTTATATCTTTGTAGGAACGAATGTGAGCAAGGTACAAACAAAAATTGCACTACAAAGACCTTCTATGGAAATTTTACTCTAGAGACTTTATTGACAACATGTGGTTGTTTAGGAAGGTCTTAAGTCTTAAAACCCTTCATGTTCAACTATCTAAGATTCCCCAAGGCCCAAAAACTTTTGAATAATCTCGGATCTTAGATCATTTTAGTGTATATAGAAAGGTCTTAAGACAGTCAGTTGCTTGTCAAGACGTCTAAGTATCCAAGGATCCAAGGTGTATATATATATATGGTCCCTCCTCTTTCATAAGCATCAACATACAAAAAACAACAGTCAACAAATAACACCCCTAAAACTTCGACAAACACTGTTAACAATTTGAAACATTACACAACATGTAGGTTTTTGTTTGGGGGCACCATGTAAAGTATCATAGATCATTATCTTTCAAATTATTGGACGAAACCTGGGTGACAGGAGTGTGAGCTGCTTGCGATCAACTTTGTCGCCAAGTCCAAGAGCAAGGAGATCCCCGGACCTTTACAGCCGAGTCACCAGTGCGTGTCATGTGCCACTGTCGACTCTGTGGACTGCAGACCGTCGACTCATGTCAACCGGGGATTTTTCCCCCTGAAAAGCGAGCCTTCATCGTAATGAATGAGATTCGTGCGTCGCACATGGCTCTGAAACTCCGAAGGACCAAACCATCGTCGGAGCGTCGGTTGCCAACGGGGTCGACACCGAACAGATCTCCCCTCGAACGGTATTTTTTTGGGGGGCGTCCGTCATGGAGGACACCTGTTGATCTGTTCAATAGAACCTCTTTTTATTGTGGACTTGAAAACGGGTCGTGGCACTTGGGGCAAAGCACAGCGGGCACAGCTCATGGTGGATGCTGTTTTAGCTTGCAGGTCTTGCCTGCCATGGACTGTTTTTGTAGGGAAAGAACTCTGAGGGGGAATTCCTGGGATGTGACTGTCCTGCTGGCTGCCCCACCAGAAATCGAACATCCAGCGGCATGTAGGAATGCAGGTCCAAGCGAAAGCACCCAACACCAAGGCAGGCAGGTCAGAAAATTTGGAAGTTCAACATCCCCAAAGAGGAAATCCACAGAAGATCGACGGAGTCTTTGGACCCAGCAACAGTGTTTGTGAGTCGTACTAGTAGTACCCCCAACCCGGAGAGTCAAGGTGTGGGAACCCATGGCAGTTGGTTCGCCTGAGGGCGTTTTCCCGTGCTGTCTCTCATGTTTCACCCCAGGGTTTAGGGTTTTAAGGCTTTAGGGTTTAGGGTTAAGAGAGACAGTCGTGTTAAAGACTGAGTGTTTGTTGGGAATCTGTTTGGATGCCAATTAAGAATCAGATGCCCACGCGGCCACAGAGTCTTCGGCGATCGCAAGAGCAAAAAAGAATCTGTTTGGGAACAACTTGTGCAGTCCATCGACTTTGACAAGTTCAAGCCAGTGATGTTGGCAGCACTCCGATCTCTGCCATTTGGAGTGTTTTGGGCCGGGCTGGCTGGCTTTCTGACCATTCGCACAACTGAAGTGGCCGAAAGCCCAAGAAGTACAGGTCCAAAATGCAGTCCAAAAAAAACATGCATGGATGTGGGTGTTTGCTTTGCCAAGTGTTGTCGTTTTGTTTCAGAAACACCCGTGTGACAGGGTGTTTTAAGAGTAGTTGCGCTTTTTGTGCTAGGGCGTTGACAAGAGGTCCCCACTGAGGGCATTTGTTATATATATATATGATTGTTATATACTATATAATTCAGGTTGCAAGTGAAAGGTCTGTATAGTTTGGCAAGATGAAGAAGTGAAGCTCGATTCGTCGATCGGGTCCATGAAAAAGCCACTTTTGAGGAGAACTGACCAATGCTTCTGAGGCTGTTTTTGGGGTCACGCCTTAAAAAGCCGTTCAAAAGCCCCTCTCTCCAAGGCTTCGTACCCAAATTCATCCAGTTTCGGGACCGGACGTGGAACGAGGCTTCCGAAGACGTGGAGCACCACGCACGAGACGGCCTGGGAGTGGCTTTGGGCAACCATCAGCCGGAACTTGAGCGATTCCTCTTCGAAGGCCAGCGGTTCCGTGCTGAGCACGGTTCCGTGCCGTGCTGGCGAGAGGAGGAGGGGAGAAGTCGAAGGCTCTTCAGTCCCCAAAGGTGGATGCTGACAGCGTTGCGGCAAGTCCTTTGGGAGGAACTGGAAGGCAATAAGTTTGCGAAGGGACCACAGAACAAGGATAACTATAACACAATAACAATAATTTAATAATATAGATTGGTCCAGCTGTTGGTGTAGCAGGAAAAGTGAATTGCAACATGTGACCCTGTAATACCCATTCTGCTTTTGGGGTCTTTTTGGATTGCTCAAAGCAGTCAGCGGTTTTTGGACTTCAAGTAAACCATAGAAAATGGGACATGATCCTATAAAAACAGGTACGACTGTACCCATTTTCTAAGGTACTTTGAGACTCCAGGTAACCGATCCAGGCGACTGCGGCAGTTCAGCAAACGCGCCCGTCGATGGCCGAGAAATGCTGCATGAACGCTTTTCTCGAGAAAGCGCTGAAGACAGTTGCTGAATAGACTGGCAGACGGAGGCAACATGCAGAGTCTGTCAGAGTCTTGTTTTTGGGCATGAGACGGTGCTGATGCCAGCGTCTTTCCTTCAGTAGCGGCAGAAGACTTCCCTGCAGAAACTTTGATGAAGATTATGTGGGTGTACCTTGAAGGGGATCAGTTTAATTCCAGCTCCAGTTTGACAGACGTGAGATAGGTGTTCAGGGGGAGGGACACGGAAGGTTCATAATTTATGGCACGTTGAAGAGAGACAGGCAGAAGGCAGGTGGATTTCTCCACAAGAGAAGATCCTTTTCAACTTTTCCCTCTCAACTTGGGTCGTGTTGGCCATGTGATTTCCCCTCCAAACTCTTTCTTGAACATGTGAGACTGTACACTTGCGGGTCATTTGAGCAGGTGAGGGCCTTTAAAGTCTACAATGCCCAGCTCTTTGGCGCGTTGAAAGAAGAGCTCCACGGCCGAAGAGAAACACGACAACGTCCGCAGATTTGGGAATCGCGAAAAAACACTCGTTTGCTTTTTAGCCACGATGAAGGCGACTTCCAAGTTGGACGACTTTTGGGGGATGTGTTCTTCCATGTTTGGCCACTTTTGGTGGCCCAAGACGGTTCCTGATGGAACTTCAGCGCAGCGCCAAGAAGAGTCAGGTTGACAGAACCAAGAGTCAGGTTGGGAGAGGTGTTCTTGCCCCAGCTAGACCTTTATAGGAATGCTAGACCCAGCGGATCCTCATGGACCAGTGTGACCAGAGAAAACCAAGCAGAGGCACCTCAATACCTTCCGGAACGATCTCTACACCGACTTCTTCGCCAAGTGCGCAATCAGTCAGGATATCTTCAAGCAGTCACGGCCTCGGGAGAGTGGAGGGCTTCACACGTGCGAGTTCACTTCAACTCGTATGTTGTGAAGAACCATTTCATAAGGGGACCGTGTTCTGTGTTTGGTTGTCAATTCTGTGCAATGTTGAGATTCGTAAGCAAATTGTTATATCAAGTATAATTTTTATATATAGAGAGAAAGAGGGGGTTTGTTATACTATAGTTCTATATTTCGCATTTGCCTGCTTTTAAAACTGATGAATCCTGGGTTTTCCAAATAAATACGTCAGTGCATTTAGAGAAATCTAGATACTTAAATTACGGAAATCTGAGGTTGTCAGACATCCGGTCAAAATTCCGCTTTCATGGACTTCTTAGACCTGCGGATGCTTGTGGGGAGGATTTTGGCTATGCTGAATGAGGCTGACTGGGTCCAATATGGGTGGTTTGCATGGTCTCTTTGCCGCTGCCGTGCGCCATGCGCCGTGCGCAACGCGCGTTTGCCGCCGTTCGAGGTCTCAGACACGGTTGCACTACATCGCCGATCGTGTGCTGCAGTCCTCTTACGACATGTTTCACAAGCCGAAACAGGAGCGTCTGAGACGTATGACGAACATATCGGTGTGGGCTTTGAGTGATTCAAGGTAAGCAATGTATAAATATATATATATATAATATATACCTGCATTTTCATTGGGCAATTTTTTTTGTGCACTTGATATTGGAGGAGATTTCCGTGTACTCTACAGAAATCTGTGCACTTGAACACAATTGTGCATTCCTCGCCGGAGCCTGCGCTTCCAGCTCAACTTCCGAATCTCCCATTTCACTTTGATTCACTCTGTGGCTCGCAGTTCTTGAACTCACTCTCTGACACATCCGGCTAACATGTCCCACCACAGATTCATAAGCTTCGTAACTGTAGGGTAGTGGACAGGGAAAGATGTGTGTTGGCAAAGACGTGTATTTGACGGGAATTTCCCTTTCCGGGTAGAACAAATTTGTCACGCGGGGCTTTTCTTCAACAAAATGGAGCCCTGCCGGTTTGACAAGCTCCAAATCTCTTGAGGGAGCAGCGGACGCATTTCCTTTGCTTTTGACATAGCTGCATGTTCTCATTTGTCACCGAATGACAGGCTTCGGAAGTGGACAAGTGCCACCCAATACAGCCCAAAGGGCCACAATCAGAAAACGTGCATGTCAAATGACAGTGTTTTTTTCCTGAAAGACGTGTAGTGCACAGGAATTGATAAATGCATAAACTTGATCATTTGAGGTTGCAGGTATAATCCCCCCGCGAAGATCTGTGATCGGTATGCAGAAGTTCTTGGATGTAACCGAGTTCTTGTTTATAAACAAGTTTGTTATAGTTCGTTCTGTTCTTGCCGTCAAAAAAAGAAACTAAGGTGTCCAACACTATACATGACATTTATAAGATTTCAACAATATCATCAATATCATTTTAAGTATACTATGTATCAACCACTGATCTTGGGGGAATAAACATCTGACTGATCTTGGGGTGTGTACGGGTACCATATATATATATATATCATATCACATCATGTTTGTTCAACATAAGTACCATAAGTCCCAAAACACCTCAGAACATGGCTCCAGTCCTCGCCTTGGACCGTTTTGGATCGTTTTGGACGAACATGCAGCGATGTCGCATAAAACGGACGTTGGACCAACATACAACAAGTTTGCAGCGTTGGAGAAAGTGTGAGTAAAGAATTTATTGGATTCTTGGCCTGGGTTCAAAGTTTGCAGGGTACCGGCCAAAATCTTGTTCAAGCAAATCAAGCAATATGTTTCCCGTTGTATGGCTTACAGGCTTCCAAAACCAGCCAATTTGAATTGAACGTTTCGATTGTCAGTGCTGTCTTATCCCGCTCAAACCTAACAGGGGTTGTGAGGGAATATATGGGAATATATATATATATATTATATACTCCTAGAGAGGCTCTAGCAGCACACAATGCACAGACTGACTGTAGACTCCTTGGAAGATCAACAAGGCATAAAGTGCATCAAAGTCAGAGACCTCTTGGAATTTGCTGGTGACCTCGGGTGCTTCGGAGCTCTTCACTCTCGCTGTGCCTGGCTGTGCAGGAGATGGTCGACGAGTTGTCCGCCCTCGGCTTGCGACATGTAGGCTTTGGGGCATGTGGCCTCCTGTTGAGCGTCCTAAATGTCCATTCCCAGACACACCTTGTATATATATGCCATTGACCCCCCAAAACCACTCCAATATATGCCAACATGGCAGTCTCATTAGTCGTGCGTGAACAATTGCGATCCCGGTGGAGAAAGCAATGCCGAAGCAACCGGAGATGGCCCTCGTCATTAATACCTTGGTCAAACCGCATCCCGAGTTTGTCGAGGATTTCAGGGTCACAAAGAAGAGGCCATGCCGCTATGCCACGCAAGCATGAGCATTCCAGGACATGATATCATGTGTCAAAGGCTTGGAAATATTTGGACACACTGGGACAGTTGCATATCTGAGGAGTAGGCCGGTTCCTGGTGTGTCACTAGGAGACACCTGTCACTGAGCCTGTCACCCTTGCAAGGGGGATATTACGTTCTTCTTGTTTTGATATTTTGATACTCAAGAACTCCAGGGACGATCAGAATGTAGAATTTCACAGGTCAGGGTTTATAGTCAAAAGTTATGTTTGAAAAATATTTATAAGTTTTTTGAAAAGGTGCCCAAAAAACAACCTACAAACCCGCAGAAAGATACCAGCAAGGTGAATCCAGAAGTTTGGACTCAGGAAACGTTGTACAAATACTACGTAGGAACTTGCAGGAAAATGCAAACATACCAATCAAGCAAACCCTGGGTTCAACAAACTGCGCATGGCGCAGGGCCATCTGTGAGTCTGTGAGCCAGCTTGTCTCTTTTTTTTCTCCTGTGACTAGCGACTTCTGCCTTCAGTCTATCATCAGCTCCGTGGCTTTGTTGGGTGACAAACGCTTCCCTCAAGCATCTTGCCCTACACCACGCAAACAACAAAGGTTTGAAAGGCAAGGCCTTTCACTTGGAGGCTGAAGTCTTTGCTTCTTGCCATTGCAAAACATCAGCTATCATTCCAAAAATGTTATATATATATATATTGTTTTAAAAAAGGAACTATAACTGGCAGCGCTGGCTACAAAAAAGATTGTAATTCCAAAACAAAAGCTATCATTCCTAAAAAGTTGTACTTCAAAAAAGAACCATACCTGGCAGCGCTGGCTACCAAACAGTTATGATTCCCAAAAAAGTTATAGTTCAAAAACAAATATAACTGGCAGCGCTGGCTACCAAAAAGTTATGATTCCAAAAAGAGTTATAGTTCCAAAAAAAAGGAACCGTAACTTATGATTAAAAAAACAAAAAATAAGAAATCAATAGCCAAAAACTAACCAAAACCTTTCAAGATCAAAGGTGTTTGCTAGTTTTGAGCTATGTGTTGTTGTTAGATTTAGGCTATGCATCTTTTTTGAAAAGCATAAGTTATTGTTCTTTTTTTGGAACTATATATAACTTTTTGGGGAATCATAACTTTGTTGTTTGGAATATATTGGAATCGTAACTGTTTGGTAGCCAGTGCAGCCAGTTATGGTTATCTTTTTGGAACTATAACTTTTTTGGGAATCATAACTTGTTGGTAGCCAGTGCTGCCAGTTATGGTTCTTGTTTTTTTGGAACTATAACACTGTTTTGGAATCAAAACTTTTAGGTGGGCTGTGTCACCAGTTATGATTCTTTTTGGGGGGAAACTATAACATGTTTAAGAATCATAACTTTTGGGTGGGCACTGTCCGCAGTTATGATTCCTTTGCGTGGAAAGCAGGGGCGATTGACAGAATCTTGACTAGACATAAGCTCTGGATGTTCGTCAGATTCACACATTTGATGTTTGGATAGTGGTTGGCTCGGCGCGGTTGGCATCCCTTTTTATGTTGAACCTGGTGGCAGCATGACATGTGCGTTCACACACACAATGTGTGTGTGTTTGTTTGTGTTTCTTTGTGGTTTTCTTAAAACTTAAACCTGTCGCATACATTCTTAATTTTGGCCTACTTTTCAAACTGAGATTGGCCGTTAATAAAGTGGAGCCATATGGAAGTTCTGGAAGCACCATGCACCCTGCGACATAAAACCAAGACACGAGGATTGCACTGAAGCAGGAATTGGGATTGACTATGGTTTTGGCTTTAAGTTCAACCATCTTAAAAGTTATGATTCTTTTTTGAACTGAACCGCCTTGACTTGCGAAATTTGACAGATCAGAAGTCCTATCCGTTGGAAGTCAATCTGAAGACCCTCAGTGCCCTAGAAAAATCTGGAACCCATTTGACCTGCTTTAATAGGAAAAGATCATATTGGGGGGGTAGTGGTCCAAACTACAAACTAGAGGTCATTCAGCTTCTAGGTTCTGAGATTTGCCAGCCAAGGCTCCCCAGGAAGATGCCTCCACAAAACTCCTGGGTGCACCGGGCGGATGAATTGTCGCGCAGGTTATGGAGTTCCCATCGAGCTCTTTGCACCCTTCACTGATTCCTGCGTGCAGGTGCCGGTGCCAGAGGGAGATACCCTGGAACGATACCATTCCCTTCAACAAGCATGTATAAGAAGAAGGCGTGTTCAGGGTTCACAGCCAGCCAAGTGCTGCCATGTCGGGGCAAAAAGACGTCGCTCAATCCTTTCGTGCTCTAGGTGGTGTTTCCATATCTATCATGTTTGCACTTAGCTGATGGTCTCATTTTCCCATTCTTAAACCATACTCGCGTGCATTTTCCCAAGACTTGCCTTCATGACTCCCACAGTACCTCAGAACAGTGCTTCCCATCCTCGCTTCTTCCCAGATAGCGAGAGCAATTGGGGCTCTTGCTTCAAGTGTAGGAAGAGGTCCTGTGTGCGCTTTGGAGCCTGGGTGTTGGTGCGATGCAGGGTGCCGTGCCAGATGTGTATGGCCGTGTGCACTTTCGAGCCTGCGCTGTGGGGTGCCGCTGCCAGATGTGTATGGCTGTGTGAGCTTTGGAGCCTGCATGCTGGCGCAGCTGCAGGGTGCCGCTGCAGGGTCCCACGAATTTCTTTTGAATCCGGCGCGATTTCAGAAATTTGTTGGCACGGTGCTTCGCGCCAGAGAGTGGAAGAGTGCGGTGGCAGCAGCACGGCAAACAGCAACAGCACTAGTTCTGAGTCTACTTCTTGAGAAGGGAGTCACAAGAGGCGGCCAGCATGGAAGAGCGTAGATTTGAGATAGGGTAGACCAATCAACCTGGGGTTTTCGTTCTTGCTCTGGTGTGATCCTTTTGGTTGCCCATCACTGTATCCATCACAGCTGTCATGTGCATGGTTTTTTGAGGAGCATGCCGATTGGTTGTAGTGATGTAACTAACTTATCTTGAAGGTTTTTCCGCTGTAAGCGGATGCATATTACTGTATTGGCTCAAGATCCTCAACAACTTCAATTTATCCACCCAGGGTCAGTACGTGTCAGAACATACTGCTCTATATTCTTCATTCACTTGAGCCAATCCATTCAGACTTTGCTGCGGCCTTCAGACCCACAGGTCATCAAAACCGTCGCCGCGAGCATGCCGAAGTCGGTGTCTTGGGATGCACAAGAGGAACGTGTGGTGGTACGGTTTGGGCTCCAATGACCCTATAGAGGGCTGCGCTTTAGGGTCGAATCTCACTGAACCCATGGACTCCCATGGAGGAACTCACCAAACCCAACCTCTCCGGGTCCTTCTCGCTCCTTAGGAGTCCACGAAAATTGTCGCTTGCGCGGTGGCAGGGATGACCCAGGCAGAGGCCAGCGGAGCCATGTTCGCCGGACACAACCTGCGCACTGATGGACCGGCATGGAGATTGGGATATCTCCCAGAGGCCGTGCAGAAAAAACTAGATTCCCAAATATTCCCAACATTCCATACTAACCGCGATATCAGCCAGGAAGCAAAGGACGAAACAAACAAAAACAAACAACACATGACAATTTGAATCACTTCTTCGGCTTCGTGTTTTAATGTGTTTAAAATATTTTCTGTTGAGTTGTATTCCTCTTCAGGTTGGTCATTCTCTGGTGATTACTTTCGAAGCCAGATAATTTTCAAGCTGTTGCCAAAAGACATCAGCACCAGTACAGATGCTCGTTCGATCTATGTCCACCCCGGATGTGTTTGTCGCCATTGCTCTTTGCTTTGCGGCGCAGAGCCTGCGAAGTGCCACCGATAATGCGAGGTGACTGAGTCTGACATGTGGTTTGTAAAGTGACCAACTGAGTCGTCATGATGTGAAGACGTCCACGGCGGAGACTTGGAGACTTGTTGCACTAGTGTAGCTGGACTACTGGGATGGGTGTATAGGTTCCATGAGTGCTGAAGCGTGTGGGTCGAGGTTAACATTCTGAGAAAAAATAAGTTGTCTTGCAACTTAGGTGCACAGATTACGACGGTCATCCAGCCCATCAGGTCAGGGCCCATCGCTGAAACCTGAGACGAGACCTGGGAACCAAACACCCAAAAACCCAGCCGATGCCAGGAACGTGACGTCCCCGAACACATGATGGTCGAGGGCTTCCGTTGGTCCATTGGTGGCTCGGGCAGACAGGTGCAGGTGCCTGGCGAGCGCTGTTGCCCAGCGGATCCTGAATACCCTCCATCCTAATAGCAATGGCCTCCAGCCTAGTAGCAATGGCCTCCAACCTAGTAGCAATCGCCTCCAACCTAGTCTTAGTAGCGATGGCCCCCAACCTCTTTAAGGAAACAAGGTTTTTGGAGTTCCAAGATCTTTACCACTGATTGCCTGATATTCGTTCTCACCAAGGTTGTCCAAACCCTCATGGTGTGAATGGAGTTCGCATGGGTTCTCCAGCAGGGACCCTCATGGTGCTTCTATGCTTCCCTGTCATCCTCGAACCATCTACCCGCCCTCCTTGAAAGCCGAAGGCTCAAACCCTGAAGATTGACCCCTTGGACAAGTATGGAAGTAGTATGAAGTAATATTTTCTGTACCTGGACCCTCCAAAGTACCCTCGAAAATGGGACATGACCCCGTAAAAGCAGGTACTAACTTGTACCCATTTTCTGAGGTCCTTTGAGACTCCTTTATTGTAGGCGTATCACATTCTTTGAGTGGCCTCATTACAGTTCTAAGTAAGTACTTGGACCCAAATCAGGAACATCCAGGAACAAATGGTCGAACAAGTTGGTTAGTTGTTCATATTTATGGAGTCTGCAATGAAACGAACCATTGATAAACCATCCAACTAGATCAGCAGCAATTATAGCAGCCTCACACAAACCGATGAAAAACAAAGGACGCGTTTGATAGGCCGCCCTGCAACTGTATGCTTGTTTGGTTCTTCTGGTGGTGTTCTGGTCTGTTGATGTTTAATTGGTATTTACAAAAGATGTGTTTTAGACGTGTCTTTGTCGGTGCATATAATTTCCCACGTTTTCCCAAGGAAAATGCTTGTGTTGAGCGTTTCGCTACAGCGAAAGCTACAGCGAATCGCTCATTTTGTTGGGAGCGTGGGAAAAAACAGTTCAGTTTAATTGTGATTCAGGTGTCTTTTAGGCGACCTTTCTCATACGAAAGATGTCTACATGTCCGAGTCACAGGGTTGCATTGGTAGCTTGGTAGCGGACACGGAAAATACTACGTTCAAGGCCACCAAAATGGGTGAATACTTGGGATTCCAAAACGATAGCAAAACGATAACAGAAACAATAGCACAAATACACGAAAAAGTCCTCGGGAAGACCATGTCCCATGTATGCGCCATGACTGCAAATTCGCAGCTTTTCACGAGTCTTTGCAAAGCAGCACCAAACTATTAATGTGGAAGAGCGCCTGGTGTTTCACACTAGGAGCAGGCTAGGACTTGCACATCCCAATCAGAAAAGGTTGGTAGGGTAAAGTCTGGGAGGGCTGGTTGGTGGGCGTGTGAACTAGGAGAAAAAGACTAGACATCTAGAGACGAATCCAATTCCTAATAAAGCAGGTGCACGTTATGTCGTCTCCCCTGCATCACCAGAGCATGAGGCGTGCTTGTGGTCAGTGCTCCTGCAACTGAAACACATATGCCATGCGGAAGTTTCTTTGAAGACTGGTTGGCAAGGAAAGATCTTGACCGCAGCAGCACTGCAATCGTTGGAAAGAAAAATCCAATCAAAGCAATGCACATACTCACATATTGCTCACATAATAGTGCACGCCGCATGCACACATTTACCCACAACAGAGACCGACTTGTTTGCAGTTGAGGCAGGGACATGTCTGGTTGGCTGGGAAACGATAAGAGACTGCAAAATGATTTCCAAACAGTGTAAAACGATAACAAGTTAACACATGATAAGGCTATAAGTGGTTATACAAAATGTATAAGTTGTTTTTGTTATATATATATCATGTGATTTGCAGTCATCCAAAAGTTCAGCCATGAGTTCTTTCGTGATAATTTGATAATTGTTCTTAATTCGCAAGACTTTGCAACTCAACACGCAAGCTTCTTCACCCAAAAAGCCTGAGGAAAAGTGTTTGTCCTTCTGCTTGAAGGTCATTGTTAATGTGGACTTACAGCATATTTGGATGTTGCATAGAAACATATCATGAATTTATATAAGTATGAACACAGTGAGGTGCGTACAACTGCCTCCTTTCGGTACAAGCACGTCATTACCCCCCACCCCCACCCACCCCACCCGCCCTCATGCACCAAACAACAAAATACGTGACAGGCGCAAGGGCGGTGTATCAGCCACGACCCCAAAATATCAATTTGCCCACCAGAACTGCCAGACACCAAACAAATACACCGGCCTCTATCTCCCCCTTTTGTTTCTGACTGGCCACTCGGACCTACTCGGACCGCCCGAGGCCTGGTGGCACGCTTGCTGATGCGGATCATCACCGAGGGCTCGACCGCTGTGATGCCTCTTGGTTCGCTCCCGCTGTTCCCGCCCCGGGACCCGCCAGACGGGGTCGACCTCAAAAACCCGCCGCGGGCCTACATGAGCCAACGACCGGGCACTTACGAAACAAAGAGTACGAGCGGCGGTGCAACAGCAGGGCTTCGTTTTGGAAGGTTTTGGGGGGTTTGGTGTTTGGCTTTCAAAAGCAAGAACACGGCAGGGCAGAGCGTGCTGGAGGGTGGATGCAGTGGGTTTAAGGCCCTGCCAGAGAGCTGCGGATGAGGTCGAAGTTGGGTCCTTGCCAAAGGCCAAAGTTGGCCAAATTTGCCCATGCAGCTAGTTTTTGTGTTTTCCTGATGATCCGGGTACTGTAAATCATTTTGCTATACTTGTTACTTGCAGGGTTTACAACAAATTGCAACAGATTGGTCAAAAAGAACGCAGGGTTAACCACAGTGACCCACCAACTGTTCAGAGGCCCATGGTCTTTGTTTTTGCTTTATAGACACCGGAGGTAGTGTTGAACCGCATCTCGAAGAAACCCAAGCTTTCGGGTCCTTGGCATGCTTTTCGAACAAGTTGAACCGACATCTCCGATGCCTCGTTTGTTGCTTTGAACGTGCGCTTTTGCCTTGGGCGGAGATCGCTCACTGAGGCAAGCCATCTACCAAGACAGTGCTAAGCTTTTGCAGGCCGCCTTGAAGGAAGCTCCACGTGTGCTTTGGCCGCCGGTCTCAGACCGCAGGTTGAATTGTCAAAACTGAGAGCGATGATGTATGTTCACCAATAGACCATGCCCGATTATGCCGTTCATGTTTTGGGGATCTCACCAGCCGGCATTGTGTTTAAACATGTTTAAACACCGGTCACCAGTCAGTCTTGTGCAGGGGCCGAGAATGCCTTTCGTGGTATAACCAGGCAAAGTGCCCAAACTCGCGTGGTTCGTCACGAAACAATCCTTGCCTCAAAAAACGGTGTTCATTTCAAGATGAGCAGGTGGATGGATCTTTGATTCGCCTGGCATATAGTGCATCGGGTCTTTCAATCCAAAAGACTTGGCTATCCCGGATGTCTCCCTTTTCCACCGCCGTGACCGAGTTCGTTGGCCCTCCAACTCAGAAAACCGGGGCCTGTTCCAAGCCCCAGCAAAGATCACATTTTTGACCATCGCTCATGTAGAGATCTATGATGATCTACGCTGCCGTAGCTTTGTTGTCGTGAAACGTAGTCATGTGTTTCTTAGCATTTGCTTGGCACTCTGTTGTGCTCGTGTTGACTTTTGAAGACCGGTCTCACTGATCTCAGCCGCCGCAATCGCTTGAATCTTGATGCACGAAGATAGAGACGATATGATCCAGATCTCGGCCAGAGTTGGAAGAGTCGGTTCCTGCCACTGAGGAGTACAGGAACTTCTTGCAGCTGAGGGTCCGCGTGGGGAGTCAGTCGATCTCACCCCTTTACTGGGCCTTGAGGAGTGGATGCGAAGGGAAGGGTATGATACCGACGAGTTCACTCGTTTGTGGACATGAACTCCACGAAGCTGGACATGAACTCCATGAAGCTGGACAAAAGTTCAGAAATAAGTGTCTACAGACCCTATGGATCCACTGCCACCTTCTCAGAAGGTCATTGGACCTCTCAAAGCCTGCATAAATAGTATCCAATTACCTTCTGAGAAGGTATGTGGATCCATAGGGAGATGAAGCTGGACACTTTGAGATAAATTTGGATTGACACTTTGGGTGTGTAGGACTCCTGTAGGACTTGCTGCAAATTGGGTGTTTTAGGTGTCTTTGGTATACTATATATATATAGGTAGTGCCAATGCTGCATGCTACATTCTTAAGGCGCAAGCCTGAGAGTCCAGAACCAAGTAACATGGAGGTTCCATCGACTGCAAGTATTTGGGTTTGTTAAGGTGTACATAGTGCAACCAATTCTTTGCCTAGGGGTTGTAGAGGAAATTTGGAAACGGGAAAATGCTCAGAATCTCGCTATCGAAGCTTGACATGCATCCAGCGACCTATAGTTTGGAAATCCACGTTGCCTCAAGCTGATTCAACATGCAGCGGATGCCTGCAAGCTTTCACGCGCAAGGAAGGGGAGTTTTGTCTCAGATTCACTTTCAAAACTAAGGGATCATGCTCTCCAATTCAATTAAAGGTGTAGAGCGGAGCACTCTCATCGGAGAGACCGCCTGCGGTGTTCCGTGTCGACCCAGCGCTGAGGGAGTTCTCACGGATTCGCTTCAAACTTGTCGAGGTTTCTGGTGTTTCCAGGTGTCCAAGGTTCAGGATGTTTTCTGGTGATCAAGACATCGTAAACGAATTCTTTATTAAGTAAACCAGTAAACCTCGACATCTTAAGACTCAAGGCCCCAACGGAGTGCTTCGTTCCGTGTCCAAGACCCCCAGAAAGGTCAGAAAGCCTTTGGGGGCCACCCAGAAAGCCTCAGTCTGTCTCTTACCGCAGCTCACCTCGCACGGAGCTCACCCCACAGGAGCGGTGCTCACACCGCCGCGCGGACCATGCTCGAAGATGTGCTGACGATCCGTGCAGCGTCTGGGCAGCGATTTCGGATCTCGAACCGGTGCTTTTCCGATGTCGATCGACACCTCGAGAACCGATCGTGGGTGCCAGCATGCATCGTTTGCTGACTTCCACGGACTGTTGCTAAGTGACTCGCGATATCCTTGCATGCATGGACAGACCTGTTGGTCTACGTCAAGCGGGTCGCATCGAATGCTCGCGTGGTCGACCGGACCACCGCACCGAGCACGTTGGACCCTTGGGGCCCCGTCCGATGAGAATGGGTTCTGGTCATCCATGGGACTCGTCAGTGGAAACACACCGTCTGACATGTTGTAAATGAGAATGGTCATCCAAGAGCCAGGCCATCCACTTCCACTTCCGTTTTTCCAGGGAGCGATCCTTCAAACGTTCCGACATGCATGGACATGCATGGACCATTTCTATACATTTCTTGCACTGACCAGTCCACCGGCAGCCTGACCAGTCCACTGCAGCTATAGTAGTTACTGAGGGTTGTTTAGTTGTCTGACTGATGACTCAAGTTTCCTCAGGATCATGGGCGTATGTCAGCTATCTTCCCCCAAGGCCAATACAAGGTCATTTTGAGACATTCTGATGAAGATTCAATTGACCCCAGTCACTGAAACTAATCTAAATATTTCTGTATTTATATAGACATTATATACAAACTTGTAGTAACTAGTGCGTGGCCACAGCTCACCATGTGTTTGACGCAGTGGAGCTTTTCAGGGCTTGGGCAAAGCATGTACGGAACACCGTACTGATGCAAGTCTCGCCCGAGATCGTGGAGGTGCAGTCATGACTCACGACACTAAGGACAGAGATCGTTACTACTATGGAGTCAACGATATTTTCAAGCCGCTTGAGCAGAAATCAGAGCTCGTCGGCCCCTTTTCCAGCTCTAATTATATAGTGATGTTGCCTGTGAAGATAGGATCTATATATATATAGCCTAGCAGGAAACTGGAAATAGCCTCAAATGCCTTCTAAAGGCAGTATATAATAGCTATAAAGGTAAAACTTTGCTTGAGGACAGCAATTTATGAAGAATTGTGAAATTGTTCACTGACATTCCCTTCAGTCCCACATTCTGAGAGGTTAGGTCTTAATGTTGACCCCAAAAGGAGATCTACTGTTGCGTACCATCGTCCCCCAACCATTGTGGATTAGTGTAGGTTAACGTCAGCTCAAGAATATGCGGCCTTTCTGGTCCTTCGAGAATGGTGTTTTCCTGGTGACACATGAGCATCTCAATGCCATAGTCAACCCACTTGTAAAACTATGGGTCTATCACACTTGTTTTAAACGGATTCCGTTGAAACAAGGAATTTGGAAAGCCATCCGAGATGTGTTTTGGGTCATCCGCTGTTTCTTTGCCATTTTGTAAATGTGATGGAATGGACCTTGCAACCGCCGCCTATATAGTTCTAGTATATTATCCTGCTGATCCCATCATACCACGTGTGCCTCCCACACTGTTGCCATCCAATGTTAACCCCATCTTACTATCATCCCATCCCCAAAAGAACCTCCCTCTTTCCCCAATGTTTACCTATTGACGCAAAAAAAAGAGCTGAGGTTCCAGCCGGACATCGCGGCAGATTTGCTCCAAGAGGCACCCAAGCTGGTGAACGTGTTTTTGGATGGGCTCATTTGGCGCTCGCACAAGACCAAGGACAGTCCGGGCGGTCCGGGCGTTCGGCGGGTCCCGAGGTGTGAGAAACCGTCCGGTCGGTCCGGCGCGGGTGAACCGCACGCGGTCCATGCGGAGTGGGGCCCTGTGCTGCTGGAGGACAGACTTCCCTGGTGGAGGACATGATGCAGACAGCGAAGAGAAATGGATCAGACATTTAGCGTCAGGATATGATTTAATGGTGGATGTCTAATGGATTATGGGCAGAGGTGAAGGCATATGATCATTGTTGTGGGAGGTGGGAATAGATTGACTTCATGATTGGATCATATTGGATCTTCTAATGTTGCATCCGTAGTGGAATTCCAGGGTCGGTGGGTGGGTTTCAGTTCATTCTGGTGTGTCTTATCTTGGGAAATCCCTGGCTTCATCGGCGAATCTACGCCCGACACTTCAGGTCCAGCACAGGGAGGGGCTGTTCATCAGGGTCCAGTGTTCATCCAAAAGCATCGGGTGAAACACCAAAGCATCGGGCCTTTCTTAAGATGTGATTATTTGATTCATTGACATGAAACACCAAGTGGACATTTGATTAATCTGGTGATTCTTTGATTCATGTCAATTTTCTCGTTGCGTTTTTTGTTGCACAGGGGAATTCCAAAGATCGCCTGATCATTTTCTCGCGGGGATTCCAAAGACCCGAAAAACATGCCACTCAGTAGTGTGGTGTTTCTGTGAAATCGAATCTCGGGAATCTGTATTGGCCCTGTATAGGAGAAGGTGGTTGGGGGGATCTAACTACCTTGTGAGCCTCACGGGGGGCCCTAGGGTGAAGAAAGCATCAGGTTCCACGAGAGACATTCACAGGTTTTGTCGAGAGACATTCCACGAGGTTGCGGGCGAACATGAAATGCAGGTGGGAAGACTGAAGGCAACTTCCAGACATACTGAACACAATATATATATATATATACGCATCGCAGTGCCTCGCTACGGGTATGGCTCAGTAAATAGCTTGTTCCATCAACAGATAACCTCGTCCAACTGCGGTGGACTTTTGTCCACGTGCACCGATGCTTGTTGATCCACCTCCAGGATTCAACCTGATCATGTGGGTGTTGGTCTTGCGGTTTCGACGCGTGACTGAGTGCTGAAAAACAAAAAAAACGAGTGCAACCCAATTGGAAAGCATGTGGTATTTGGATGTATTTGGTATCATTGGGTATTGGAGTGCAGTGAAAGTGTTGTCTCTTACCCCAAGCAGGTGGCAGTTGACCATTTTTCTCTCTCAAAGTGCATGCAACTGTTCACCACTTCTTTTCCTTTTCACAGGAGGGGCAGCGTCCGGTGGTGTACTACATGGAACATTTGCTCCAAGATCCCGACGACGAAAAGATGATCTCACGAGCCTTCGTGAGCTTCGTGCGCTTTCGAAACCCCAAGATCATCGTCCATCCCATCTTGATCTTCGTGCCTCGCTGCAGAAAGAACGTTTGTGTCTTCCGCGCCGGGGTACCGTCGGGGTACCGTCGGTAGGAAAGGTGGATGTTTTTGGGATGTTAGTGGTGGGTTCATCATTGTAATGACTCCTGGGCTATCGGCACGGGTGATCCATTTGGAGGGTCTAAAGCCCTGAAAGTGTTGCCATGGATTCAAAAAGCCCTTCAGAGTTACCCGGGGTGGGAAAACATATGAGAACCATAATCATATATCCATTATTGTATTTATAAAACAACCATGACGGATGAAGGACATGACATATGAAAAAACATGTACGTTAGATATATACATATATTACCTCGCCACGGCGGCAGCGGTGATATACATATACATATACAGCCCAACGACTTCCACTGAGTTGGGTCCCGTCCGATGTTTCAGGTCTCAGACCTGGTGTGGAACAAGCTTGCCACTCGTCGACTTCAGCAGAGCGAGCGAGCGAGCGGAGCCTGGCCTTCCGCAGCGTTCGCGAGCGAGCGGATGGACTGACTGGATCTGACTGGGATAAGATGCGACTGGTACCCAAGAAACATCCCAATTCATGTGTGTATATATACATATGTAGAACACCTGACAGGTCAGAGCCTTTTCCTGGACCTTGATTTCACTTTAGGGCCAACAAGCGGAATGCCCCATGTGTTGGTTCGGAGATCGTCGTTGATCCCAAAAGTCAGAGTTGTCCATGGCGAGCCGCCTGAGTTTTGTTCAATTCGAGGTGCTTCCCATCCAGCGAAGGGACGGGCCCTCGAAGTGGTTTGCTTCGATGACGGAACGTTAATCACTCTGGATCAAAGATCCGCCATGGACGCTGGAATCTAGTGTTCACAGCAAATGGATGCAGAATAATCTACACCGGGATCTACTATAGAATCAATATAGCTATATAGGTATAGTAATACAATGTAATACATGCTTGGCCCTTTTGGAATATTGACTTGCAGGAGATGCCACTTCTTGGTTTTTGGTGGTACAGACATGCCGCTACAGGACCACACGAATTTGCAAAGTTAGGCAATGAAGTTACGAGAAGGTTTGTCATGCTGATCCTGGGCAGGATGAGGATGGTGATCAAACCTTTGACGTGACCGGACCTGCTTTGGAAGATTGTTATGTTGAGAGGGCCTGACAGACCATGAGCTCCTTTTTATGACGGGCCTGTCGGGTTGGACAGCTGGAGCCAAATCCATTCCTTGCCCTACAGCAGCTACAATGAAAATGGATGAGTGCAGGAACTTGTACTTACTGTACGAATATGTCATTCTGAAAAGGCATTGGAAAAGAATTTGTGTGTAGTTCAGTCGGGGTGACTTTCGCTCGTCTTCAGCAGTCGGAATTGGTTCTCAGTGCTGAATGGCTGTCGTTGGTTTGGCCAGCAGCAGGAGTCAAAGGAGTTCTTCCAACGGGCTCAAATGGACTTGCTCGGGAATTCTCTCAATGGGCACGGCAAGACAGGATCATTTCAAGGCCAGTATATATTATGCCCCATGCTGTATGACGATGACTTTAATTTGGATGGAAGCTAGCCAGACTGCAGCCAAGCAAACCATGGAACGGGCGATCCAAGTGCCTAGTGTACACAACAGGAAAGAACGCAAGATATATGATGATGGGGACTTGGAAGTTTGTGAGACTTGGCTTTCTTCCAAGCTTGGTGGGTGGCATTCCTGCAAGACCTGTTGTTCCACTAAAATTTTAGACTTGCTGCACACTTGCAGATTCATCAGTGGCACAGCAGCAAATTTTGGCAAATGTTCATCTTCCACTTCACCACATATCAAATGTTGCAGAGCATCCGTAAGCGCTTCATGCGCATTCATACGATCTTCGTCAGATTTATCAGCGACATGATATCAGTCTATGACTTGTTCACGTACCAGAAAGTCAACGGATTGATTTGATTGGTATATATTTTAATTGGACTTTGGTTGCAGGATTTACTCTGATTTAGTTGGGCTCAGTTCCTGGTCAATCTTCTTCTGTTCGAGTCACAAAACCTCTATATATGAGTACAAAATACTGGTTGGAAGGGACTTGGCGCGTTTCGGATCGTGCGTCGGACGCAGAGGGTCAGACTTACAAGATCCAAGTTTTCACAGATACACCTGCAGGACTTGTGCCTGATAGGTGAAGATATGATCTTAAAGAACTTAATTAGAATTGTAATTAATAGCTTCTTGTTACTACTAGTAAGGCACTTGTTCCTACTAGCAAAGGAATCTACTATATAGATCTCCATGGACCAGTCCGGCCCTTTTTTCGCTCAAGTGAGAAGCTACTTCATGTACGATCAGATCTTCAGGAGCGCGTAGACGCGGCGGCTGAGGTCGGATAGACGTCTGTGTTTGACCACACTCCAGACCCTCCGTTCCGGAGCCGGATGTGTTCGCACATCCACCGGGCTTGTGGAACACCGGATCCGGTGTCCTCAATTCGCCTGTCCTCCGGTCACAACGGCCACTCGTGAGGTCGGATCCGAGTCCTCGGTTGACTCTCTAAGACAGGAGTTGGTGCTTGCTGTTCGACATGAGGATCATGAGGGGGGTGGGTCCTTTTTCAGGGATTTGGGGCGATTTGGGCTGTTTTCGAAGCGTGTGTTGCTTAGGACTTCCCTAGTTTGCAGGATGTTTACAGTTTACAGTACTCCCTGAAATCATGGAGTACTCTGATCAGGCGGTGGGTTTCCAGAAATTGTCCACCGGTCCATGTTTCCCGCACACCTTGAAGGATTTTACACTCCCTGGAATTATCATGCTTACGTTGATGGCATGGCCAGTAAGGATGTCCATGTTCACCAACCAGGCGGTGAATTCCATGTATCCTGTTTGAACATTTCAGGGAGTGTCTGACGGGTAAATCACCCTGCGGTTCCCTTTTTTGACCGGTGGAAAAAAGATAAAACGTGTGTGTTTACTTCACTTCTGATAGACTTGCTATGACAACATTGGATCGATTGCCGTAAGGATGTTCTAAGCCGGTTGATTTGCAGGATGATTAACTTTGTGATCTTTATCCTGGCCGGTTGTCACTTGGAAACGCTGCGGAACGCAGTGAACGCAGCAAGGAGGAGCAAGCAGGAACTGGTGAAGGTGAAGTGTGAGAGAATTGAACAGCTGAATGTGGTACCAACACCATCGCCTAGTGTGGTAGCTCTATTAAAGACTCTATTGAATCAATGATCGGTATTTGGGTATCCCAATGTCTATATGTAGTTGTAGGATACACACATGATCATGGAACTATAAGACAAAGGTTTCATTTCAGTTCAATTCCCCTGTCTAATCGAGCCCCAGAATCCGTCAACCAGCTGGTATCGCCCACCCTGGCCACCCTGTTCATGGTGAATCCAAGCCCTACAGGCCCCCCGTGGTGTGTTCTTCTTTGAATCACAAGGTCGGGTTCTTCAGGGCGCAAGACTCCCTTCCGCACCTGAGGCTTTCTCAATCAGCCGACTGTGATGAGGGATCCGGTGTGCCCCTGTCGCACCGGGCGGACCGACCTTCGATCAATCCATGGGACCACGAGCGGTCTGAGAGCTTTCCAGGTTGAGACCGCCTGATTCGACCCTTTGATGGACAGAGACCTTTGAACCCCACAAAGGTATCTATGTTCAGTCGCTGAGAGGCTAAGGGATGTCTACTGAAGAACCAGAGTCTTGGTCCGAGGATGCAAGGGTCCATCGACTCGTGTGTTTCGAAGTGACCCAGAGTCTTCTCGATGTGTCCAATTGGGTGACCGGTCAATGCACCCTCAGTCTCGATGGACCGATGACTCGAAGGACCCCAGCATGAGAAATTCACTGTGCAATAAGAAGCTTGACTGGCATCCTGCTAGGAGCCTGCTTAACTACAGTAGATTTCCAGGGAGCCTCCTCACTTCATTTCTGCAACGCATTGGTCAAGTGCCAACAGGGAAGAACCTCGATGCTCCTCACTAGGATTTGGTGTGGTCTGAACAAACAGCAGAAGTGCTTGTGGTCACTGTGCGACAAACACCAGCGAAACGTCATGCATATTGTAGCAGGCCTGAAAGTTTGCGGCATACTGAGTTTGCATGGAAGGTTTAAACTAGAAGAATGGTAACATGTTCCAGGACCATCCAAAGGGTATCCAATGGACGACCTTATACTGCTTATATAGGCTCCCATTGGGCACCCCTTGATGGGGTATTGGACCACAGAGATGTTTTGCTGACTTTAAAGTCTACCACTGACACATCACCCTGGCAAGATCTGGCAAGGATTGAACAACATTAAGCATAATTACAGGTTGGCTAAGCACGCTGTCAACCATGCAGGGTAAGGTTGCTCACCTTCAAAAAGGAAACAAATTGCACCCTTGTTGACCCTTCCACGGCAAAATCGCAGCTTCCCCCTTGTAGATAGCTTCTCGGTCGGTGGGGAGTGGATTCCCTGTCTCTAATACTTGTTGCTGAGACTGCTTGCAAGGTGGTCTAAAGCTCTTGTCGGCGTGAGAGTGTTGGTCTATACCATGGGCTTTGCCAAATTGCTCTACTCCCACGTGCGCGAGCTCTATCGATCATCTACTCGCCAGGAGTGGTGATTTTAAAGCTCCAATTTGTTGTTTGGGACAAGTGCCATGTTGGAGACCTTTTCGGGGGAATAGGCCCCGTTGACTCACCCTTAGTCTCACCCTTAGCTTCGACTTTTCAAGCCGAATGTTCCTGTCCAAGTCATTTAGAATACAGTATATATAAGCAAGAAAACTATAATATAGAATTAATATGTTTTGAAATGCACCTTAGCATATGTTATTTAGAATGCACCTTTGAATCGTATATATATATATATATAGATACAGACTCAGACCTTACATAGTTGCAATATTCATCATCGACACAAGACTGTCCACCGACTGATCCTGAAGAAGGCTGTTCATTTCACGTCCCAAACTCCCTCTTTTGTTCTTGGAAGAGTTCATATTTTATGCTCCAATCACCTCTAACAATATCAGTAGTATCATTGATACGATTTCCCAAGTATCCACAAACATCATGCCCAAAAGGGTGGGGAGTACGGTCCATCACCTCACTCAGAAAAAGGTGGAGTCCACGCCCGGTTTCCACCAGGTGCCTTCGTCGACCCTCGTCGGTCGATCTCTGCTGGGTCTCTCAATGTTGCTCGGGTCGACTCGGCCAGGACTGGAAAATCATTTGGCGCGTTCGGGTTCCGACGTACCTGCTGAAGGGCCCTGAGATGCGCCTCGGGCGGCAAGACGTGAAGACCACGGTGACCGGACGGCGGCTCGGAAAGAGCGGACCGGTGTCCGAGGTGTCCATGGGATGTCCATGCTTTCCTTTTTTGGGGGGGAGGGATCCAGGTAAAGATGTTCGATGGCACTGGCATGGGGGTCCATATAAACCCCTAGTATTTGCGCCATCTACTCTGAAACCAATGTAAAAATACACAATGGATCACAATGGACCATTCATGTTGCTTAACCCTTGGAGGCCAGTCAACATCAGAGTAAGACTAAGAAGTGGAGGCCAAATACACGTCGTATGTAGTTTCACACACGACGTGAGGCCTGTAGTGCATTTTGCTTTTGTTTTTTCGTTCCTCCACTTCACTTGACTTCCCAGTTGTGACCCTATGTGTTGTCTCGTATTTGGAGCAATACCCACCTGGTCCAAGAGAAACAGTCTTCCAGGTTGCGAGTTCAGGCAAGTGGCAAACTGAGGCTCAGTTTCATGCTGATGCTCAACATGGCTTCAATGATGGTGGTCTTTTGGGCAGCACTTTTTTCGCTGCGTTCGGAGTGTCAGGCTGTGATGATGGTTTGCTCTTGATGTTGAGAACACCTAGCTGTCGCTTCTCCAGGGTGGTTTGGTTGGTGACGGCTGTGGGTCAAGCCCCGTGGTTGCCCGCCGGACGACACGGTCCGCGGGACGATGTCCGTCCGTCGGTGACACGATCCACCGAGGTTGAACCGATGATTCATTGCTTTGGCACCTCAGAGGCACGGCTGATAGAATGGGATGTGGCGTGTGTTAGGATATGAGATACAGTAATATATATGATACAATATGATATATGATTTTATCTTATATGATATATAAGGAGACTTTGTCCCAGGGTTCAATCTCAAGGATCTCCCTTTTAAAAGCCTATATTTCCAGTTGCCTTTGCATCACGAACCAGGAGGAGGTTTTTGGTTAGGAATGCAGCAATGCATTGGAACCGCTTGTTATTGTACATATAGTGCCAATGACACTCCTTGTATGGAATTGTTATAGGTACATCTACCCCAACTGTGATCCCAATGTAAGTAAGGATTCCAGTACCATAGATGGTATGGGATTGAATCTTGCCCACAGTTCGCATGTCTTCTGCTTGTTGGCGAAGGAACTTAAACTGGGCGTGGCTTTGAAAGCTCTTTTTGAAGCAGGTTGCAGCAGTTCGACGTCAACGATGCTCCCCTCAAAAGACATGACTGACTCCCATCCCAAATATTAGTTCATATGAGGGATTGGAGCACTGGGTATAGTGCTATCGAGGACTATTGTAGACTGGGGTACCAGCAATTGTTCATGACGCACTGCAATTTGTTTCATTGTTGACTTGAATGAATTATTTACCGCTTTTGCTCAAAATGTGATCTGGGCCATGAATCAACTGGGAGCTGCCTGGTGGAGAGAGGTTGGTTCACTTTCCTGAGTACCTTGGTGTACCAGGCGAACAAGCGAATGTGTCCTTTCTCATCTCAACACCAGAAAAGACTTTGTTCGAGCAAAGAAAGAAGTGCCGGCCTTCGCGGCGCACGCGCCAGAACTTCGCGGAGTTCCAGTGTGAGAACTGGACGGATGACATGAGTGGCTTGGGCGAAGCGGGCGTTGGATTGTCGGCGTCCGAACGGTGGTCCTCGTCGTGTCGTTGGGCGTGTCCTCGGCGGGACGGGTTGTGCTCCGCCGGGCGGGACGGGCCTCCTTGTTTGCCTTGTTAAGATGACGGCCCTGGGCAATCGATCCGTTGCTTGAGACTCAGTCGGCTGACCATTGGGTCCTGGGTTGCCCAAAGACTCCTTGAATCGGATCTATGCCAAAAAGTTCACCCCTCTTGAACCACCCCAGGTAAATATACAAGTCCCATGAACTGTTTGGACAGGTCGTGATTTGGACGGTCTTTCGTGCCTTTTTTTGCAGTCCAGACTTTGTAGGACAGCTGAATGCCCTTCATTGGGTGGCACACCAAGCATGCCAACTTGGCCTATCGATATGGCTTTGGAAGATGATGTGTTCCGCTTCCAGGGCATAGTGTCTATACTCGGAATATTTACAAGAGCAATTCTTCGAAGACAGCAGAGTCTGAAAAACCCGAGGCGTTGTCGCGCACCCCCGGGTGGATGGCTGATTGGATCAGTGACATATGTCCAGTGTCCCTGGAAGTTCTTCCAAGTCGACGCTAAGGCCTGGCATATGAGGTCTTCTTGGTCATAGGGATCTTCTTGCCACTTGGCCAGCGGCTTCGAATGCGGGTTCGAAATCTTCGAAGCTTCACTTGCACAAGGGTCCCAAATCAGAAATTATATCAATCAATGTGTGAACACCACCTGGTCACTGGCAAGGCCAGATCTTGATGGATTCTTGAATCATATGAATTGCCATGAATTCAACGGGTAATAAATATTTATTACGAGCGTATTAGAAACATCCTTTAAAATATACAACGAAAACGTATATTTATCAAAAGATTTTATTATGAATAGGATTGATTCCTAAGATTTTTTAAAAATGTTTGTATAGTCCTCGTTTAATAAAAGACACTGGGCTTACTGAGCGCATTTGCACACAAGAGAGCCTGCGACCAAGCCGACTTTTGGTTTGAGTTTTCTGAGCTACGTAGCTGTCCGATGTCATTTCGGTGAAACTGTCAGGAGCTCGGGTGGCTTTTTGAATGTCCGGCCTTAAATTCGATCCAATCAGAACCCCCGTTTGCATCACCCTTGAGGCACATCCGTTTATCGCGACGCAGGGGAGCTGGACAGTTTTGGACAAGGAACACACATCGTCGACACATTTTGGACAAGGAACTGGCGGACTTACCGCATATTTATGGGAGATCATTTCAGGGGCCAGGAGTTCCACCAGATGTTTTTGCAAGACGGCAAGCACCAAATCACCGAAACTCAGCGCGACACTGATGAAACCGACTCGTCTGAAACCTCCAAACATGGTTCCAATATATGTTCCAAGCATATTCCTTTGGTGATTCTGCGCGTCTTTGGTCAGCCCAAGAGTCAGCCTCTATGTGACCAGACCGGTCACCGGTCACATCTCACAATCACCGACCGGTCACCGGTCGGCTCACGGCGCCGAGGTATGTGTTCTTGATCTTCGGGATTGGCAGTAGCATCTCCATCGAGATCTCGGAGTACCGCGTCCTATGTATGAGCGCGGTGAAGCAGGTGCGGAGGACACCCTCCTCCTGGCTGATTCCTTATAATTTGGCATCCCAAGCTCCCTCTACCCCCGTTTACGGGGCAACCTGCAATGAGCAAGCCTCCCAGTGCGGCGGCAAGCCTCTCAGTGCATCCAATCGGGCAGGTGGCACTGTGCTTGGGTGTGGTGACCTTGGCGATCTTCACCTTCGGTTTCGTCATCACCGCCATGACGCGTGAGGCGCAGCCAGAGACGGGCCAGAGTGTCGCTCACATGGCGGCTGTAGATGGCGGGGTTTGGGTTTGAAGGAGTTTTTCAGGTTGGATGCATTTGATGTGCATTTGCTCGATGCAGTGCTTGCAGTGCTAGCCATAACACGGCAATGTTCCATAAGTGTTTGCCATTGCTACTTGTAGTTGACCATCGTCATAGGGATCGAAAGCACACAAGCAGTTGAACAGGACCAATACTCTCAACATCTCTCAGCAGTGCCTTCAAACACCTCCAACACTTTGCAAAGCCCTTTGCATGAAAAACCAACAGCCGGGAGCAACACTTGCTCCAGGTATGTCGGCGATCTTTAAGGAATCCGACATCTTCTATAGGTATCCATGCAGGGATATGGGGGCCGCGGTATCCCCAAAGAGTCATCACAACCCGCAGTATTTGGAGACTTTGACCATTTGGAGACTACGTGGCGACACGGTTCCGCACTGGCGAGCTGCCAAAAACTCCTTCCTTGCCACCAGTGGGTGAGCATTCCACTTTGGACCAACGCCATGGGCAGGACCCAATTCGCGCGCGCCTTTCCTTTGCATCTTGAGAGATGATCTGTGCTTTGGATGCTTTGAAGGTTGGGCCCTCCATTGGCCCTCCTACGGGGAGGGCCGCATCTCGCTTTTTGGACCAACTGGGCGCCACTGTTTGGATTTGTTTCACTTTGACAGAGCCATGACGCGATCTACGAACTGGTCGATCTACGACGATCTCTCGATGCGACACAGCTGTGTTCAGAGCCTGAGGAGACACAGCTTCTGATCGCTCGAGCGAGGGGGTTTCTTGCCCAGAAAACCCCCACGGACAGGTGCAGAGCGGACGAGGGCGAGGCCAGGCGTTTGGGAGGCACTAGGACTGAGTATAAGTTTGAGCCACGAAGCTGCTTTGCCACCGTGGATCATCGGGTTGCTTTCTGTCAAGTCCGATCCACCCCATTTTGTCACCTGCGTAATGCTTCTTGGATCATCATGACACGGACTAATACATGCGTCCAAAGCAGCGCAGCTTCGTCCATTCAGGCAGATCTGCACCTTTTGTGACTGTTTCAACCGCTTTGAACGGGGTGCCGGGCACTACCTCGTTGCATGTCCGTTCTGCCAAGTCTATGCTTGACATGGTGCCGCTTTGCCATGACCCGTGAACCCGTGACCCACCTGTCGTGGCTAGAGTCACACCTGAGCTCGGTGGCTGGATGAACCTTGTGTTTCCACACGAGCCGCTTGCGGCCTTCGACAGATCGAGGTCAGCGGCGCGTCGCCCGGATATTTTGGAGTTCGATGGGAAGAGCTTCTTGTTCTTACTAGTAGTAGTAATGCCAGGAGATGCTAGTAGCGTCCTTGCTCCTAGTAGCGATGCCAGGAGCCCCTAGTAGCGTCCTTGCTCCTAGTAGTAAGGCCAGGAGCCCCTTGGAAGCACCTTTTGGGCCAAGAAGAAAGCAAGATTCATTCAAACTGTCCACCGCGCTTCGTCACTCTGACAGTCTGATGTGCAAGTGTTTTTGGGGTAGAGAAGCTTTACATAGCTTTTACAGTATGTATATATATATATTATATATATATATATATGTAGGTGGAGTGCTGGTATGCCTAGCCAATGGGTACTTTGTCTCTCAATGCCTTTTACCACAGTGATGCACCACTGCACCATCTAATTCTGCATGCTGCTCTGAAGTGCTGGCCAGTCCTCGCAAGCCTCCTATTTTTCATCATCTTTCTTCATTCCTTGAACTCGCACCGTCCCGTGGGCTCCAGACTGAGGCATGCAACGGCCTCCCTCCAGTCACGCCCACCGGCCCACCGGAGCAAGTGGGAGACCCCCGAGTCCTCTCGCCCTGGCTGGTAGACTGGTCAATTTGCTGAACCAAAGCCAGGGGGGTCGTTGCCTCGCCTGGCTTCAGTCGGTCTCCCTATCTGAGGTTACACACCCAGATTGCTTTTAACATGTGGACTTATCAGCAACATGAAGATGTGGACTTATCTTCCGTATGGGCACATCCGTCTTTTTTTGATGCTAGGCCATTACTTGGCAATCCATGGAATGCAAGTATCAGTAGAGTGAAGATCATGTTCGACTTCTAAGTAAGCCTGGTGCACCAGCAATCAACGTTCAAGATGAAATTGGCAACAGCATCCTGGGTGCTTACAGCATAGTCAAAGGCCTAGTCACTAGTCACCAGGTAAGTGTTTCCTTGGCACTTCGGGCATGCTAAACCCGTTGGGAGGGGGGTGTTTGTACAAACGGCTCCGTTTGCAAACATGACAGTGTCGTGGGGTCCAGTAACTGTTTCTTTGACCTTCTTCAAGGCCTCATTCTGAAGGCCTGGATCAAGGCAGGCTATTCTGTTGGGATAGCTTGCAGTACATGACATTCCCACATCCAACTCCCAAACATTGACTGTGCCAGATCGGGAACCTTTCCAGCAACGTTCCTTGGCTCTTTGGGGCCGATCGTGATGCGCTCGCGCACGAGCGCTGCCTATTTGGTGCACATCCAGAATCTCTGGACGTTTCCTCATTCAGCATCAGTTGATATATGTTGATATAAGTTGTGTTCGGGATGTTTGCAAGCACTTGCGGGTTCACTGTTTGAAGTGTTCACCAAATCAAACACCTAAAAACAAAATATGATCGAACCATCAAGATTGGGTGATCCATCATACCGGTGCTTCGATTGGTCAGAGTTTTTCCATGAAGATTCACCAGACACTTGAACATGTTTTTAGTAATATTTAAGATGCGTTTGGTGTGCCAGAGCGGTTTGGACCTGGGTGGACCTGGGTGCCCCAAAGAGCACCAACAAGTTGCAGGGTATCAGTTACACCAGGGTATTCACATGTATCTATTATCTACTGTATTTGTGATTATTTACACAAGACACCAGAAAAGGCTGACAAGAAGAGCACCCTGTAGATCAACTTCGGGGTGTTGCTTAGGACAAGAAAGAGTTAACTTGTTTTTTCTTGTTTGCTGAACAATCGAAGTCGTGTGGTTTGCTGAATCAGAAGTAGCCTCCAACAATCATGTACGTATACAGTAATTGAAAGACGGGGCCCCTGGAAAGATCATTTTCCTCTACAAACAGGGCCTCAACCATGTTTGTGACAGTGTTCAGGACTTTTGCAAACCAGAACAAAGCTCCAGTCAGGAATCCCATTTGACCAACGTGCGGATTATTCACCATGGCTTGTCTTGTGGGGATAATCTCGTGTACCTCTCAGAGTGCTTTCACCCAAAGTCCAGATCAGCGATGGGACTTCCTGTCGAGCGGAGCCACCAGGAATTCATGGATGTGGGTTCAGCCATCAGCAATTTGGCCCGCTTGGCCATTGGCATGATGGATACAGTTTCCTGGCGGCCCTGGCGCAGACTCTTCCAACAGAATCCCAACAACTCTTCCACGCACGGTTTCTTTCGAATCGCAACGGATGGGCCTTTCCATAGGGATTAGTGATGTGCCTTAGGAAGGGGCCATATCAGTGGAGGGGTATGAGTCAGAGTTGGTGGTGGTGTTTGAGCAGTGAGTCTTGGAAAACAAATTCAAGTCAGGAGATGTGGGGCATTTTTCAGAGGCTTGTGTAATCTTCATTGACCACGCTTGAACGCTTGATCTCTTCTTGTGTCCCAATGCATGGATTCCCGTTTTGGTTTGAAGAAATCTTGGAAGGCCCACATTTGAAACCATGGCCCAAGCCCAACTCATCTGCGGGTGTGTTTTTCCTCACATGTCAGCTGAGGGTCGCTGGATTTTATGAAAGGCACCACTCCTACTTTCCTCGGCTCCTGTATACCTACCTACCTGCGTACGTGCGTACGTGCGTACCTGCATACCTGCTTACCTACATGCTATATATATACCTATATACGTACAGACTTACCTACCTACGTACCTACATATGTATTTGTCATAGATATATAGTATACAATATATGTATACATACATATATATGTATTACAATATAACAACGGCCAAAATGATAGAAACTTCTTTGGCAGGGTCATTGTTTTTGTTTTGTTTTTTTTGTGTGTGTTTTTGTGTGTTAATGACCTTTACGTTTCTATCGTTGGTTTCCCTGCATGTTGTTTCAGCAAAAGCTAGTTGTTTTCCTTTCTGTGCTCTCTGCATGTCTAGATTTGCGTTTGTATCTTTGGTATCGATGCCCAATTTCCCTTTAAAACAAAACGGCTAAACCATAGTTGTCTTGTCAACTCTCCGCTAAATTTGATTTTCCAATAATGTTCCTTTCAAGTGTCCTTTGAAGGTCACGCTTTCCTGTTAGATGACTCCTTTTTGGTAAAAGGGGTCAAGTTTCCATCGTTGATATGTTGCTGCAAAAACTGGAGGGAAACCAAACATGAGTGTGTGCGTTTTCATCTTTGGGGTTGCATGGAAAACACATAGGATTAAACAACATCAAGTTGATTCTGGTGTGTTTTTTTTTTCAGGGTTTTCTCTTAACACAAACATAATGTCCTTTCCCATTGCCCTGTTGAATCCGTTTTATACATATTACTTTAAAACATAACATCTCATGTTTCAAGGGATTTCCTGCTGAACATATGCTAAAAGCCTTGAAGAAGTCAATTGCTAAAATACAACGGCTTCAATTGACAATTGACTTCTTGAATGCTTTTAGCACATTTTCAGCAGAAAAACTATTGAAACACGGTATTAAACACATGATCATTTTTATATGTATATACGGGATTCAGCAGGGCAGTGCAAAAGGACATTATGTTTTTTCCCCAAACAGTGTGGTCACACTAGGGGTTCTTACGGTAAGGGAAAGGCAGGTGTGCTTAGATAGGTGTGCGTCGTGGGCGTGTGCGGCTAATTCGCTGCTATTTACAGTACATTCATGCCTCTCGACATCGTCAATGTGCATTTCGACTGCGCAGGCTCGCAGAATCTGGGGGCCGGCGGCGGGTGCTTCTAGCAACTGCGCTCTCGTTGTGGTTCCGTGTGCATTTTGGTACATGGTGGTCACTTTTCGTGGCAGGTGCAAGGGAAACCTCGTGCTTTGGTGCTCCAAAGTCAACTTCGTGACAGGTGCAAGTGAACGGAGCTGTTCTACTTCGAAGTGCAGTTTTCGTGGCAGGTGCAGCACTTTGGACATGGTGGTGATCGTTGAGGAGCTCAGATTTCGTGACAGGTGCAGTGAATCGTGACTTTTGGACATGTGGCTCATTTGCAGATTTCGTGGCAGGCACAGCACTCTGTGACCCTCGATGTGCAGATTTCGTGGCAGGTGCAGTACTTTGTGAACCTCAAAGTGCAGATTTCGTGACAGGTCCAGCACTTTGTAAACCTCGAAGTGCAGATTTCGTGGCAGGCGCAGCGCTTGGTGAACCTTGAAGTGCAGATTTCGTGGCAGGCACAGCACTTGGTGAACCTCGAAGTGCAGATTTCGTGGCTATACAGCCCTTGGGGAACCTCGACGTGCAGATTTCGTGGCAGGCACAGCACTTGGTGAACCTCGAAGTGTAGATTTCGTGGCAGGCGCAGCACTTGGTGAACCTCGAAGTGCAGATTTCGTGGCAGGCGAAGTACTTTGTGAACCTCGAAGTGCAGATTTCGGCGCAGGCGGAGCACTTTGTGCTCTCAGATGCTCCCTCTCTCACTCTCTCACTCTCACTCTCACACTCTCTCACCTTCACTCTCACTCACTCACACACGCTCACACTCACACTCACTTTTCACTCACATTCGCACTCACACTGACTGACACTCACACACTCACAATCACACTCACACTCTCACTCTCACGCGCACGCACACGCACACTCACACTCACTCACCATGCACCACCGCCACCGTCACCACGATCCCCACCTTCATCACCACCATCACATCTCTGGCCCCCAATGCGTCTAGATCTCTACACTTTCTGCTTATAGACCTCACACACACACCGTTTGGGGTTTCTTGCCGGGATAATTTTGTTCTTTTGAGGGAAACCCTGGAAAACCACCAGATTCAACTTCTTGTTGTTTAATCCTATGTGTTTTTTCATGCGACCCACAGATGGACACGCAAAGACACTGATTTTGTTTCCATCGTTGGTTTCCCTCCAGTTTTTGCAGTGAAATTTCAATCATGGAAACCTGACCATCCTTTCTGAAAAAAATGTCCCAAAAAAGTATTTGTGTTTTGCGAGATTGGGTTTCTATCTATTTGGCCGTCGTTATAGATACATGTTTGTTTCTGGCGGCACAAAAGCCTAAGCCAGAAGGGGTCCCAGTTCTTGTGGCAATAGTCACAAATTTGTGATCGAAGTTTGTGGTGATTTTGTTTGGTTCCACGTCCCTCTGGACAGGTAAAGCACGTATTGAACGTGCCAATGTAGAAAAAAGGGTTCTTGCGGGGTATTGGTTGTGAAATTCCACAGCTACTACTGTTTGTACTACATGTTTGTTTCCATGGCACCATAACCATCCATTCCAATGCACGTTCAATGTGGATACATCATCACTATCCCTGATCTTTCCTTGTGGGTGGGAATACGGTTTCAGACCTTGTCCAAGAATCACACTCACAAAAAGGTTTAGGACATGGGGATGGACAGGGGGAAACGCACTACGGATCCATGAGGGCTATCCGACTATCCGTCCTGTACTGTAATGTGACCGGAGATAGTTTGGGGTGGACAAACCTCTTTGGAGTTCCATGATGTTGTGTCCATCATAGCCAGATACTCACGTTCCATGATGATTTACTCTTCAGCCTCTTTGTTTCCATTTTGGGTGGTGTTGGATTGGGAAACTTTTTGAAGTGCCTCACAGCAGTTCTTGGGACCCAGAGACTATATCCCAGTGTGTCATCAATGCCCAACGACCCACGTGGACCCGATTGATGGGCGGTGTGCCACCGCCAGACCGATTGAATTCACCCGGTCACCCGGTCGTTCAACCTGGAGCCCAGTTTTCTCCGCCATGTAACATTGACCTTTAGAGGTCAACCCATAGGTATCCGGGGTTTGACCCACAGCCTGCTTGTCAAAAAAGGATTCAGTCTGCTTAGGGCGAGCTGCGCAACATCGCTGAAGAAAGTCCGTTTCTTCTCATTGCTCCTTGGCAAGGCTGTTTCCCATGGCTGGAAGGATTTCCAGTAACAGTTCTGCCGATCAGAACCCTTGCAAACTCGGTATGTTAAATTAGCATGCCTGGATTGGATGGGGGAACATGTTTCAATCAACTCATGAAAACCAGGACATATATCCCTGCCCGATGTAGTGCCCGATGTCATTCGACCAATGACACCCCAGTCGACTGGTTCCCGGCGACCGACAAAGAACCGGCCACCCATTCTGGAGCTTTTAGTCAGCTCGCCGTGAATCCTCCACATGGGGAAATGGGGACGTGTGAAGGCCTCGTGTGTTTTCTTCAGCACACACCTGTGAGTTGGACTGCTCATCTGTCTTTTTCTACAAGGATCGCAAGGATACTCTTTGTTTGTCAGACCAGCGTTTCCAATGAACTTTCAACGTGCACAAGACCTGCTTATTGTATTTTATAGTTTTAGTTGTTGTTGTTTTTTTTTCTGAGACGCTCCTGCTTTTGCAGGGGGGGGCAACTTGTTCACGTGTCGCTCATGAGTTGTCCCTGGACGAGGTCATCTCGATGTTCATGCTACTGGTGTGCAGTTTCTTCTTCAACATCCTGGTCTCGTCACCTGACCAAAACGTGCTCGTGCCGTGCGTGTCCTTATTTTGTTGCTTTCACTCGCGTCAGGGATGGCGCGTTGGAACTCCCAAGGGCTCGGGGAGCCGCACTCTCACCGCCCAAAAAGCATATCCTGGGAACGGTTTCCTGAGTTGTTGAATCGAAAAGCCTTGACCGGCTAAACCGGAGGCTTTGGAGTATCCATGTCCGTCATCACCAAGCCAAACCGGACATTGGCCTTGTGTTTTACCACAGCTATTCTAGGTCAAGTTGTGTCATCTATTTGTATTTGATACTACTCTGGCTATGATGCTATCGGTGTTCTATCAGTATGTCTCTCTTTACTGGACATCGTATGTCACCGACCACGTAGTCTCACACCACCAAAGATATATTACTTACTGTAATCATATCTCAGACAATCCATGTATGGTATATTTGCCTGCATTAGGGTGGTCTTTAAGATGAATGTTCAAGGCCGATGTATATAAGTATATAGATGTTCCGTACATGGATTGTTGGGTATCTCTCTTATCAGTTGGCATTTAGCATGTATATATCTGTGTGTCAACAGTTCTTAGTAGATTCCACGGTTCCACCCGGGAAAATCCATGCACCCTTTCATCTGTAGAAATCACCTTAAGTGTGGGAGAATCCATTCTGAACCAATTGATCAAATTCATTCATGATTATGATTTCGATATCTCACGAACTCGCAGTGTTTCCTGGAAACAAAACATGCAGTACATGCAGTCCCCGAACGCCCATAGTGGGATTGTCTTCACTCATGAGGCAGTTCTGCGGTGTCTACTCTTCTTTGGCAGAAGACAGCGAAGGTCACGCTAGGCCTGGAGGGTGGTACCGATCGATCGTCAAAAGGGTACGACCAGAGAGTGATTCTGTCCTTGATGGCCTTTTCAGGTATGGATCTTCAGTGCTACTAGGAACCATATCCCACTCCAAGTCACTGAAGTGTCAAGCCCACTGTATTTGCGGGGTGATACACAGTCTACTGAGTCTACTGCATGCGCTTGATACATGAACCTCTGCACCACCGATGCCCAATCAAAACACCGCGAAGCTATGCAAAGCTCATATCACATTAATTCATAATATTATCAATTGTTGTTCGCTACTTTCGGTGTTGCAGGATTTCTGATCTCACAAATATTTGGATACTCCAGATATCTCCAGATAGCACTGTCGTGGGGGATTGAAGAACCACGTTCTTGTGCAGCAGTTCTCAGCGTCAGCGCCTCCAAAGGCTCTCACGTGGAGAGGTGATCCTGGACACCCTCAAGGCGTGGGGCGACGTGCGACGTGCGATGTAGAAGTGCGAGGCCCCTGGGCCTCGGCCCTCGGGGGCCGTGCGGGGCCGTGAAATCCAAAGTGGCTCTCTGGCTGTGTCCGAGTTCTTCGAAGTGGGGGATCACCCAAGCCCCCCCATCTTCCCAAGTGAGAAATGAGTTCAAGCCAATCCATGCTTCGGATCTGAGGTGACAAAGTCAAGCCAATCCCATCAAGTCCGCAGAATGGCCTGAGTTTGGTCGAGGAAAATGGTCATTCCAGGAACCATGCCATCATGTGCCAGGGAGTGACCCAAAACGAAAGCATCCCCAAGCACCTTGGAGGCCGCGTCCCAGCACCTTGCCCATCTGATCGTTGGGACCAACCCCACGGGGGGATCAGTGGACGTGTAGACCTATGGAACATCTGCGAGTTCACTCAGAAGAACAGAATGATATAAATAAATTTATATATCCAGGACCTTCAAAGTAACCTTTTGAGATCCCACAATGAGGTCACTTAGTCCCTGAAGAGGTCACTTACAGACTCCGAAGAGGTCACTTTGAAGGTCCTGGATTATATATATATAATATATATAGATAGAGAGAGAGAGAGAACATCCTGATAGCCGTTGGTTGGAGGGGGCGCGTACCACTGGTACCACTGTTAGTCGCCCTCCGTTGACAGGGCTCCGCTCTGTGGTTTCTTGGTTCTTCTCTCAAGCTGCTTCGAAACGAAGAGACAGAGGGGATTCCCAGTCCCTGCTTCGGTTTCCGTTGGCTTTCCTTGGTCGTCTGCTGAGCTTCCGTTGGTCGTCAGCACCTTCAAAACACCGTGCAAGGCCCTGCAGATGTTCCACCATGTTCGATGTTTTGGGCGCCATAGGAATGTGGGGAGAACCGGCCTAGCCTTGGAAGGCGGTGCAGATGAAGCAATGGAAGAGCTTTGTGGATCTCTTGGCCTTGGATCAACGCACCGCCACCTGACTGAAGGACGGAACCATCGACAGGTGCGGTCCTTCCTGCCCGAACTGGCCGGGCTTGAACGGGGCGGTGGGGGGTTGGCAGGTCAATGGGGGTCGACCTGGTTCGGGGGTCGACCTGGGCCTTTTGGTGTGAAACGAAGATCCTCTTGGTGAGGGCGTCCAAACTGTGCATTGTGAAGCACAGTTCGCCAGATTGGAAGAACTGCAGATTGGAAGACAGTTGGGACTTCGAATCTTGGAACACTTGCACCTGCGAGCTCAACACATTGATGATTTAGATTGATTTAGTGACTTCCCCAAGGACTGTGACATCCAGGATTCTTGAGACGAAACATAGCCAGTTCTGAGCTATGAGAGGGAGCCTCTTAGGAGAGGAAACGAACCCGGTTCTGAGCTTTTTCGTCGTCTCTTTGGGAGCATTCGATTTGGTCAATAGGAAAGCCATTTGACATTTGAGCCATGTTTTGCCAATCCAATTCAAGTTCCATGCTTCTTAGAAGGAAAGATGAGGCACTGATTCACCGTTATGAACATTGCTGGCACGCCAGAATCCATGGGAGTGGTACTGTAGCACCTACTATCGCTGGTTCCTGTTGCGGTTTCCAATACATCATAATACCAATATTTAGTAGGTGACTAGGTGGCGCATCTGGGTGGGTTACATATTGCATTTTGGGGGGTTCCACCAAGAGCCGCTAAGGGTGCTCCTCACTGTCCCAACCTCCGAAGCTAAGGACTTCGACGAAGGTGATATTGGACTGGCTGGAGGTGCCGGAGATGACTGGACCATGGATCCAGCCAACCGGACCAACGCTAAAGAGGACGAAACTTGTGAGGACGAATGCAGGGAACGGCCAGGTGTCAGCATGGTCTTTTGATGTCTTTTGCTCTTGTATACAACCAAGAGGTCAATTGTACCTGGCCGGACATCACTGGGCCCATAGGCCCTGTCGGCGTGTCACTCCCCACCTCCTCTGTCCGCCAGGGGTGAAAGTCTTTGAGCCGGCCGGGGCGAATCCGAAGACACAGGAGATGCCGGATTCGTGAAACCAACGGGAAGTTGCGACGAAGAGTCGTTGGCAGTTCCATGGAAGGCTCTGCGAGTGGCTCTGGGGTCTCCCACTTTCGTGGCGCAGGGCGAAGGAAACAGGCTTTAGCAGTAGGGCTTCCGATGAACAATCCCACAAAAAGATACAACACATCCTGCCTAGTGGTAGCAACATGTAGCAACCACGTTTAACTGACCGCTTGCACCCTGGACCCTCCTTTTGCTTTAGAATACGGGGAGTCTGCGGTGATGGGAAGAACAAATACACAGGCATAGTTTTCACGAAACTGCATCAAACCATGACATGGTCCCAGTGAGACTATTCCCTAGGGCTCCAATCGCACCCGAAAAGAAGCTGGTTGGGGTGGGTGCCAGGGCCTGTCCGCCCTTCCGCGCCTCTCGCGCCTGTCATCCGCCTCGGAGGACCAGATCATCCGCTTTGGCGGAGCCACCGATCCCTCGTTGCCGTGGCCAGAGAGGAATGATGACAACACAGAGACGACGGAGAAGAACCTTGGCCAAACCTTGGGGGCCGGAAGGGACGCGGGAAGATGAAGGGCTGAAGGGGTGTGCTCCGAAGCTGGGAGGTTCTTAAAGGGAAGTTCAGTGCAACGCGGTGGAGTTCACTGGCATTTGATCATGGGTGCTTGGCAGGAGGAAAGGCAGGTCACCGATCCCATCGGTAGACTCTATGGCAGGTCACCCACTACTCACCTAATATCAATGGTCTGAGTGGTCGGCGGTTTTTTCAGGCTGGGCCAGGAACAGAAACTGCAGCTACAGGGTATCAGCAAATGGGGAGTTGTGCACGTGCACACCGAGTTATGGTACTTTTGCTTGACAGACTGTTTGTGGTCCTCATAGTTTTATTGCTTGCCTAAAAATTGTCTCACCCCTGAACATCAACTGACAACACAGAAGGCATTGTGGTATGTAGTGAACAGGGAGACCCGTGGACAGAACCGCCTAGTAGAAAGAAACATTGTACCACCAACCCCATTGCAACACGTTGTAGTTTCCTGCAATGTCGCTATCGATTTGGTCGTTTTGGAGTGATCATTCCCAGAGGCTGATTTTGCAATCTTGCGCATCTCAGGATGATCCAACGCACGTGCCTTTGGATGAACTTGGTACACGAGTCAAGAGTCGTGCGCAGCCATTGTAAGGATTCTCGAAGTGTTTTGACCTTAAATTTACATATATAGAAGTATTTTGACCGACCCCATAGATTTAAGATGAGTTGACCCCCGTCCCAGATTCAATTCTGCTAAGGGTTCACATCCATTTGACCCCACCGCAGCTGAAAGGGGTTGGCCCAAAAGTTGAACGAAGCGAAGCACTCAGCGAACAGAAGCAACAACCCACAGCGGCGGAGTGAACGGTGGAGGCCCTGGTCCACTTTTGACTTGAAGTTCCTGAGTGGCAAAAAGCTACTATATAGTAACAGAGGACATCGCTACTAGGAGCAAGGACGCTACTAGTAGCTCCTGGCCTTACTACTAGTTGCAAGAAGCTACTTAGAAGCAAGGACGCTATTAGGTAGAGGCCATCGCAAGTAGGTTGGAGGCCATCGCTACTAGTAACAAGAAGCTGCTACAGTAGTAACAAGGACGCTAAACCTCAGGGGGGGATGAATCAATTTCCGAAGTTGCAGTTCCTGGAAGTCCATGCTGCCACAGAATGGATTTCAAGATGATCTGTGCCTTCACGAACGTGGGACTTTTGGGTGGGTAACTATACACCCAGAACTTACAGACTGCCCCAAACGGCTTTAAGGTTAAGCTGAATTCCCTGTAAGTGACCAATTCCATGTGAATAACAGCACAAACCAGAATTTGGTAAGCTGTAAACCCTAAGCGGTTGATAGTCCCTAGTTCTCTTGGGGCTAGCTGTTCCTGCGCTTGGTGCTGGTGTACCCTAAACACTAAATACCCCAATTCACCAAAGGCATTGCTCATGTTAATTATCCCCAATGTCCAAGGTGTTTGGTCTTTTTGTATGTTTTTGTAAATCGAGGAACCAAGATACATGTGTGGCAAGTGTCAATCTAGGTCAATCACTTCCCAGTGATGTCGTCGTCGTCGTCGTCGCCGTCGTCATGATCATCATCACCATCATCATCATCATCATCAAACATTATCAAATCATCCAATCTTTATAATCTTTATCATGCCTAACGTCATGGCTCTCAATCATCCTTGATCCTTTTTATTTGACTTGGCACAGATCCAAGGCGATCCAATTAGCCCCAACATCCGTACAGCTACTTGATAGCTCCCTCCTGTTGCCGCTGACTGGCCAGCTCAGCTGACTTGAGTGGTTGTTTGTGAAAGAAAGACATCAAAGCCATCATCTGGAACTACCCAAACAATGTGAATATCGTTGTTTTCTCCACTTCTGGAAGACCACAGACTGGTTGCCCGACAGGCACTCCCAATTCACCTGTGCTGCAAGTGGCCAGAAATCGTGTTCAGAGCTCCATGTTGAATTTTAGCGATGCACGACTTGTTACTAGTAGTTTGGTGCTACTAGTAGCAAGTGCATTGCTACTAGTAACAAGTGCATGATAATCACTACTAGTAGCAAACGGGCTACAAGTAGCTTCTTGTTACTAGTAGCGATGCACTTGTTACTAATAGCGATGCTCTTGTTACTAATCTTTCTGTCCGGTGCGCAGATCTGAAATCCACCAGCCCTTTTCCGTTACGGAGACCGATTCTGTAGGATTGCGCATTCCTTGAAGAAGTTGATGAAAGGCAGCGCCAAGGGCACCGAGAGCGACCAGTGTCTTGGGGAATTTCAGATGTCCACTTGCCCAGACACTCCATGAGACTGGTACATGTGCTTTCTTATACATGGTGTGTTTGGGTGAATCCCAGCGAAACAATTTGGACGCTGGACTGGCCCCCCTCAGGAACCCCGGACTGGTGGATTCAATGAGTAAACTTTCCAGCCGCCAAGAAAGGAGGTTGGCACGAGGCGGGCACGAAATGGGTGGCTTCTCCCAAACCATGCGACGTGTTTCTCCACTGGTGGGGCTCAGACTTAGATGCTGTCGAAGAGCCTAGCTGCGCCAAGCGAACTTGCGTGACCGATTTTTTTTTTTTTTGGGGGGGTGACAAGATGAAAAGTGTAAAGAGACGTGGGGCCAGCAAAATGGTTATTGCGTGTGTGTTGTACTGGTGTAGAGTTGTTCTTTGTTTAACAAATTTGTCATTGCCGTTGTCACGGTCCAAGAAAAAGACATGTGAGGATCTCCTTGCGATCGGGTCGATGTTTTGTTTGTTCATCCAGCAAGTTGTTGGATTTCACAAGAGGACCTCCTTAGATAAATGGTCATGGTTGTGGTCGCTATGTTTTCCGTGGCTGTCCAAGAATGACCCACTGACATGAACCTAGCGTGGACACCTCCCAAGACGTCAACTGGCTTTTGGGTGTGCTTGCTTTGCTGTTCCACTGTCTATAGTGGTGATAGTGGATATAGTTGTATTGACCCAACTCCAAGTTTTAGTCATCCTTTTCCCATGGGTGAGAAACCGGGATGAGTTCCGAACAGCTTGAAACAAGGACCAGCAGTGTGACCAAGAACAGCTCCGTCAGCAATCACAGCGACTGAACGAAATGGCAGACGCTAGCTTCCGACACGGCTCACTACTTACTCAACAGATCTCAACAGGATCTAGCTATTTAAGCTGTAGAGCTAACACCTTGGAGGAGGAGTTTGGTGACGTGGAGTTGAAGAGTTTCTGCAATGAAAACCGATTGCCGAAGGGAAAGAACTATGGACTGTGGGTCCTGTGGGTCCCTGTACTTTGGAGCTGAAGACCAAGGAGTTGTCAAGAGTGTGAGACGACTAGGTTGCTCAGCCCCCCGAAAAATCCCAGACATCGAAAGAGTGCGAGTGCCATGGATCTTTTTGTACATTTTAGGACTATAGATGTGCACCGAAGTGATGTGATTCATTGAGTGTGGGTCCCTCACTCATGAGGCCAGTTATTGGACATTCAAGTTGTTTCTTTTTTCTCAGCCAGGATGTCTTCAGGTGAGAGCCACCACTTGAGGGCCTGAGCCCCTACTTTGCAAGGTCCCTACATATCGCACGGTGCTGAGAGTCCCTTCGATAAGTCCAAGTAGAGATTAGAGATGGCCTGAAGAACTCCGTGTCAGTTCAGCTATCGGTGAGCCGTGTTGGGACGTTTCAATGTTCCACATGTTGCTCAAGGATTTGGAATGAAGTCGTGCAAGCTGGCGCTGTTGCTGAAGGTTCGCGTTCCCACGGATAGGACCCGTAGACACAGGGCTACGCTATATACAGGGCTACACACTTCTCCCATGGATCACGGCTGTTGACTGGCACAGTACGTACACACCCTGCACTTGCTCGACTGTACATTTACATCATTTTACATCTAGAGCAAGGATGCTACTAGGGGCTCCTGGCCTTACTACTAGGAGCAAGGACGATAGTAAGTAGGGGCTCCTGGCCTTACTACTAGGAACAAATAGCTACTAGGAACAAAGGGCATTTCTACTAGAATCCAAAACGGAGAACCCCTCGGCTGGGCTTCACTTTGTGGACGAGTGAACACCAGCGCATCCATCGGCATCCGTCGGTGATTTCACGTGCTTGCCTTTTCCATGGAGTCATCGACAATAGCACATGGCGTCAGCTTTCAACATGCACCCCCCCGTGCCCACGCGACGGGCTGCAACGGAGAAGGATCATGGATCACATCCCTCATCCCATAGGTGTTGCAGGAGCAACTCCAGTAGGGTCTTTTTGTTGCGATGCCCAAACTTGTTCAGCTGATCAGCTGTTACACAACTCTGCAGTGTGTGAACAGATCAGTGGGTGAAATGTGGTTTGTATACCCTGGCCATCCCTATACTTGTTCAAAGGTCTTTGGTATCATGGTAGCATGATGTATATGTGAGATCGTGAACTGTTGGAAAAGTGGGAGCTACTGCTGACAGAATTCTCAACATCCCATGCCACAGTGAAGCGCAGTGGGGATCGCAAAGAAGCACAGGTCACACCAATTCAGACCCCTCCTTTTTGCAAGGTCAACAAATGTTTTGGTGCTGATGTCTTGGTGCTTTTCATGTCAATGCTTGCGCACGCTCCATTCCAAACCTTTGAGAATCACGGGCTGCAGCAGCACCCCTTCCAGGGCGCTCCAGGGCGCACGTTTTCTTTTCGCAAGTTTTGGATGAAACCTTCTGCGTGGATTTTTACCAGGATCCTTCTGGCATTTCATTTGGGCCACCAAGTCATTAGTTGATCTACTGTATATGTTACCCTCCCTGAAACAATCATGGAAGTGGAAAACCACCGGTTTTGTACAGGAAAACAGTCTTCACTTCCATGATTGTTTCAGGGAGTGTACATGTCAACCCTTAACATCCTACCCAGGAGTTCAGTGGACCACCTGCCCAACCTTCGAAACGGGCCAGGTTTCCCCACTGGAGGTCATAGGTGTTCAGTTCGGTTTGCCCGGATTGATGCCGGAGACCCCAGGTGGCTCTAAGGACAACTGACTGGGGTTCCAGAATGGTGGTAGGAATGTGTCCAGGCTTTCAGAAAATTTCCGAATGAAGAGTAACCCATTCGACAACTGAGACCCCAGTCACCGACACCCCCCGCGAGAACAGGGTGGAAAGACCCAGAACGAGTCATACCACATCATAGATATTTGAGTGGAGGTGCGGTTTATGTTTTTCCAGACTTGGCCCACGGCATCCCACGGCAAAAAACATTAACAGTAAGAAACCGCTCGAAATAGGAATAGTAAGAAACTTGTTTGCAATAGGGTGTTCTTTCCGTCATGTACATTTGTGTTACCAGGAAGAGAGTAGTACAGCATCTACCACGCAATCCACATGATCTTGGGACGATGTAGGTTGCCCAGTTAGTGGCATGAGGCTAGGTGTTGCGACCCTGTTTCATTCTGGATAGCTACTTTCTGTCTACAGATTACATGGGCTCCATTAGCATGTTTGTTGCACAACTAATTAATACCAGCGCCATAGTCGAGTCAGGGGTGTCTGTAAACCACCCTTTCCGGGGTGCTGGTACTAATTATATATAAAGTCTAGTGTTTAAAGTTCTACACATTCAGTAGGGTGTTAAATGCAATTCTTTGGTGTTTTCAGCAGCTAACACAGCTGCCCATGCGTTTTTAGTTCTATGTTTGTGATACACTAACTTAGGCTTTGTCACACACCTTTTGGAAGCCTGAGAGGCCTTTTTTCAGTCCCCTGTTGATTCTCCGATTTCGATCGAACCTAGCCCAATGCACGCCAGCTGTGCACAGGGAGTTTGGCGCTTGGGGAGGGCGCTCAACAGCGTATACATCTATAAACATAAAAGTTGCTGTAATCGTCTCAACCTGGACAGCTTGTAATTCTACGACTTCCAACAGGTTGCCTTTTGGATGTCGCCACATCCAGGCTTGGAACCAAAATATTGTCTATAGCTTTAGCTGCATACATTTGTGTATTCCTAAGAACCACAGAATGTTTATAGCTTTTTCACCACAGAAGGGACATTTTTCTGTTCAATGCTTTGAGAAATCAGCAGCCCAAAAAATCAGTGCAGTGGTGAAGTCCAGAGCTGCCGGGCACGGTTCAACGTGCCCGCTGACTGATTGAGTGAGCTGAAGCGTCGTTGAAGGCAACAGCTCAGCAAATAGTCTTCCAGATTGACAATCGCGTTCAATCCGTAAGCTGCGAGCTCCTGCAGTGCCCGAATACTCAACATTTTGAACTTCCCAGAGTTTTGATGATTGTGGAATAGCGCTCAGCATGGCTGGCGGGAGACTTTGAACAGTTAAAAATGCAGGTCGTCGAATTAACCACATTTTTGAGCAGAGGTTGGCCTCCGTGATGGGTGTCCTTGGTCTCGAAAATTAGAATGAGTTGTTGTAGGTTTTGAAGCAACACTCAGTGGATGTTGTTCAGCAATGCGGTGGAGTAGAAGGAATTGGAATTTGAAGGCATCAAGGTCGCACCCAGGACAACTCGTCGGGTTCACGCACACATATTCAAACAGGATCATTTTTTACGCTGAAAGTACCAGTTGGTGATGGACCGGATTAGAGTCAGAAGCATTGAAGGCAATTCAGCACTCCTCAATATTACGGGACCAACTTGCAGCTGATCAAAGGTATCGAGGCCCTTCAGAAACACGTCCGACATGATTCTGACAATAAAAACTCCTCAGTAGAAAAAAGCATGGACTCCCAACTGAAGTAGCTCCACACCTCCAAATTCTCAGCAAAGGTCCTCAACTTCAACCAACCAAAATAAAGCACTCCAGGGACTCCAGAGCAAGCGCTTTCGCTGCTATCGAACTAAGAGGACACCCATGCTTTGACAAATGCTTGGAACCTTTGCCATTTCTTCGGCTGCGCCTCTGCGAAGCGGCGGCTGCGCCGTGCCATGATGGTTTGTTTGAAGCAGGTCTATAGGTGCATTTCAGGTGAGCATCATCATGGTGGATCATTGGATCTTATTGGATCATGAATCATGAGTCTCAATGTGTTTGCAAAGATTGATCGAAGCATTGTGAGTCGACCAACCCTCTATTCTTACACATCTCGAGTTTCGGCTTTGCATAGTCTCGAGTTTTGGACGACTCTTCTCCGCCAAGTGATTTTCTGTGTGCAGTTCCACCAGTTTGCATGGCTGCGATGGTTTGGGATCTTCCGAATGGACAAGTGCCCTCTACCTGGATGATGACTCCTGACTTTGCCTGTGACACCTGGCATTCGAAGTGTAGTCGGTCCGCGCACATGTGCAAGAAGTTTGTTCCTCGCATGAGGAAGTCGAGCGGAGTGCTCGAGCTGTTAAACTGATCCAATCCACGTGGCACAATCATGAATCATAACTGTGATCCCTCCTAAAGACCTTATTAAGATGAGCCTGAAAACCCATGCCATGGAGAAATAAAGACAAGATGTTCTGTTGCAAACCATTGCAAACCAGTAGTTTCAGGATCCATGTTGGTCCGCAAGGGTGTCAAGTTTGTCAAGTTAATGTGATAGTGATAGTCTTCAATTCAGATGACCATCGCGAAGTCATCAAGGTGAACCAGGCATTTTTTGAGGCTTTCAGGACAGACCCCACGAGGAGCAATTTGCCAGCGATCAGACCAGAGCCGGGTTTCTATGATTTCGGACATTTGTCGGTGTGGTCCACAGCTGTGGTTCTTTTGGACATGTCGAACCTTTCCAAACTTTCGACAGGGGTATACAATGTGGATCAATGTGGTTTTGAATCTATTTTGGCCCAGTTGCCAGTTGCCCACAAATGAACCCTGAACCCTTGGATGGATAAACCTTTTGGCCAAGTACAATCAATGCAAATCCATGAGGTTACGAACTCTTTCGTGAGGTCAGAATTGGACCCCTCCAAGGATCGCAGATGGAATATGATGGAACCTTATTTTGGACATGGTTGGTTTGGCTACGGTTTCATCCTGTTTCATCGCAGCCTTCCAAAACTCCTGTCTTTTCCACTCAGCCTACAACATCCTGAACATCTGGCATGCGGTGAAGGAAAAGCCCTGAACATCTGAACTTCGAACCTCTACCGCAGCTGAACCAAGAGCCTTAAGGAGCTGAACCAAGCTGCTGAACGATCTGATCAGCGGAACAGAGGTTC